AAGTAAAATACTGTTGAAAGGAGTATTTTAAAAATATATCAAGAAAATAGAATTTTCATACTGGATTGTTCTAGTCTCTTATAGATAAAATTAAATTGTTTGTGCAAAATTATTCTCATCAAAAAATATTTTAGTTAAATTAGCCATAGGAAACAAGCAATATACTCCCTTTTTATATTGCTATTGTTTTGAGGTTTTATGTGTCTCCCAGCTCTATCAGGTTTTATGTGTCTCTAACCATTTCTTCTACCTTTGTCTCATTATTTTTTAGCTTTTGGATGATACCTTATAAAACAAGAGGAAAGATCATAGTTCCTAGTCTTATCATTTTAAACCAGAAATCTTATGTAGCTTTTGATCTTCTAATAATCATTTGTATGTAAAGAACATATAAGGTTCATTTTCTATCATATAAAAGAAAAAATCCTCAGCCAAAGCTAAAAATGCAGAACTTGTTACACATAAGAACATTGTCCAACTTCTGAGTATATCTAAATGGCTCTGGTTTCAGATTTTCCCTATTATTTAGATATGCTTTTATTTTTCAAAGACAAATCATCTGTTCTCAAGACTGTTTGCTTTGTTTGTTTCCTGATGTCTTCCTAGATGCACAGTGTACTGAAATGTTAAGATACTACTTCAGAGTAGAAAATAGATTCTCCCAATCATATCTTATCCTCTTATCCTCCAAGCTCCCAACTTACCAGTGAAGTAACATGAAAGTTGATATAGATAAATACTGTGACCATAATCCCAATTGGGAGCACACTCATCTCTTAAACAGTTCTGTCAACTGGGATTTATCTGCATGGAAGGCATATAAAGCATCGTTTACATAAATAACATGGAGCTTTGAGTTGGACAAATATCAGGGATGAGTAACTGCCCTAGAGGATACCTATTAAATCAATCACCAGGCTCAAACAATCAGAAAAGCATTGACTATAGCCATACAAAACTTGATCACAACATAATCTTCCTCTGCTTCTTGATGAGGTAACAAAATATGCTGTGTTCATTGAACAGCTGCTTTCATAAGAGCAATAATGAAAAATTCTCCCAGAACCTTCAGCACTTGCACATGAAAACAAGGTTTCCAGTGAGAAAATTAAAATGCCAACAAGATTTATACTTACCTATGCAGATGTCCTGTGATCTTAAACATGTTCTATTCCTTTTAAAATGTAAGAAACAGAGATAATGTCATTTTTAAAAGTACTGTTATTGACAAATGAAAGTAATACGCATGATTTCTGTTATGGGCTGAATTTTGTCCCTCCCAAAATTCATGTGTGAATCTCTAATTCCTAGTTTCACAGAATGACTATTTGGACATAGCACCTTTAAAGAAATAATTAAGTTGAAATGAGGCCATTAGGATGGGTTCAAATCTAATTTGACTGGTATCCTTATAATAAGAGGAGATTGACACAGATAACACCTAGAGAGGGAAGACTATGTGAAGATACAGGGAGAAAATGGCCATCTGCGAGCCAAGGAGAGAGGCCTTAGAAAATTAACACCTTGATCTCAGACTTCTAGCATCCCAAACTGTGAGACTGTACATTTCTATCATTTAAGCCATACAGTCCATGGTACTTTGTTATCACAGCCCTTACACGCAAAGACAATACAGTATTTGTTGTATTTGTTTGAAGAAAATAAAGAAATGAAGATAGGCCCAAAGTTAAGTCATCTCTACCTTGCTCAGACAAAATTCTGACTCTTGGTGTAAACATGCAGCTTTTCACTGAGTCCATATGGAAATCAATGTTCCCTTAATTGCTTTAACTTTGTGAATATTCTCCCATTATAACTTCCATTTTACGAGTGAAATGTCAGAACAGGGCTTGCCGGAGCTGCGTAAAGCTAGCATGAAAGCCTATTCCCCATAGAAACATCTGTTTTATAAGTGAGTTAACTCTGAAGAAGTAGACGTGTAAGTAGTATATGCTCATTAATTTCAAAGGGGATGTAAAGAAGAGAAATGTACAAATTACTAGTAGAAACAAATGATGGAAACTAGATTTTTGAGGATGATTGTGTTATACCATCTGAGAGTCTTTCAATATACCTAGAAAATGAGAAGGAGGCCTGTTTGAGATCCTCTTATCAAAGAGGAGAAAGCTTTTTTCTCACCAAACATTCTATTCTTTTAAATGTCCTTATAATAGATAATCAAATGATAAGATCACATCTCCTTGCTTCTATGTTCATACAAGAAGCTTCCCCATCTCACTGCTTCCTATCAAATGACAGCAGGAAGTGAAAAAAGCTTTTGTGAACCAGGACATCCTGCAGGTGAAACCAACATGGCCAGGATCCTACCCAGATGCACAGCTTAGGAAGCGGGCCCTGCTGATTGAACCATACTGGCTTTTCTAGATAAATTGAACAGTCTTTCAAATGCTTTGTGAAATATTAGGCACATAAAACCTCTAGATCTCAGAAATGATGACCATACCCCCATGGCAGTCATGTTTTACTTTGTGAAATACGTGGAATATAATTTTCTAAAAGGCAGTATAATATTAACAGCCTTGTTTTCCAAGATCTTTGGATAAATATTTAAGATCTGTGTAAAGGATTTTACCTTAGTTATTATTAATCACCACCTTATTTGCATACATGGTGGGGGAAGAGCCTCTACTTGAAGATAAAGTCTATCCATGGCCTAACCTGGTCATATGTCAGAGGTGATCCAGAAAAGACATAGGGCACCCCTGGCAGCATTCTCTACATGAAGAACCAAAGAACATCCTGAGAAAGAATTCAGCCCATGAAGACAGGTGACTGCTACTATGACAGAGACATGAGGTACCACTGCCGATCTGGGGACAGCTTCTTAGTGCATGTAGGACATTGTGGGTGGAGAACGTAATATAGTCTCTTTATTCCTAGGCTCATATTCACCTGGGTCTGCTCCTTGCCACAGGAAGCCTGGCCTCTCAATATGACACCTTTTCACTGACAGAATTATTTTGATTTGTGCCCAAACAGGTATAGCATAACCACAATATTAGCGTAAAGGGCTTAAGAGGGGTTCCCAAATCAGTCTTGTAGTCTTCTTGAAACCAGCCCTCCCCTGTCACTGCCTAGATTCATGTGTTTCATTGGGTCCAATACTCTCATACACGTAACTTCTAGGTAGTGTGATCATACAAAAATCCCAAACGAGGATATTTTTGAGGATGAAATGGGGCAGTAAAAGTAGTAAAAGTTATGTAGTTTATTTGAAATATGTATATTTGACTTATAATTTAATATTCTTTCATTGGCTCTCCAGTGAATTTTATTCATTGCTGAAAATATAAAATTATTTTTGCCAAAATATAAAAAATAACATTTCTGTCTATTAAAGCAAAATAAAAAATGTCTCTATATGAATTATTCAAACATTAAAAAATAAATGGGATAATTATTCTTAGGTCATATACATATTCTTAATCATTTTTTTAGCCTGTATCTATTTCTAAAATTGTGTCATTGGCAATTTTCTGAAGAAAATATCTTGCAATGTGTGCTGTTTTACATTTTTTAATAAATTGCTTGCAGTTTTCTTCAAATTCGTATTTTGTAATGAATACAGTTTAAATTGCTGACACTCAATTGACTCTCCTCTGTTGACTATAATGCTTTTAGTTGAGAAACTGTGATCTACAGATACTGAGGTTCTTGATAGGATCAGAGAAAATTGGGTTAAATAAAGGATATTTTCAATTCTAATTTTATTGTAATATGTAAATATCTCAGTTCAAATATGTTAACAATTAAAAGACAAAAGAGGTGCATAAACAAATGATGGTTGAAGGGCTGTCACTAAGAAAAGTATCCCATAGAGCAGAGGAAAAATAACAAAATGGTTCAACATGAGTTTTTAAAAATTAGTAAAATAATCATATATTAAAAACTAAAACATGATGTAAACATGAAAGAGGTAAGAAAATGTCTGAAGATTTCTTTCTCAGTGAGGCCATCTAGGCTCATTGGAGACATTCTAATCATTTTAATCCTTAAGTGAAAAGGTTTGTTTTCATACTCTTACTTCTAAAAGGCTACTTGGTTCCTATGCACATCTGCAGACTATTCTCAGCAACTTTTTTTTTTTTTTTTGAGACGGAATTTTGCTCTTGTTACTCAGGCTGGAGTGCAATGGCACGATCTTGGCTCAGCGCAACCTCCATCTCCTGAGTTCAGGCAATTCTCCTGCCTCAGCCTCCTGAGTAGCTGGGATTACAGGCCCACGCCACCATGCCCAGCTAATTTTTTGTATTTTTATTAGAGACGGGGTTTCACCATGTTGACCAGGATGGTCTCGATCTCTTGACCCTGTGATCCACCCGCCTTGGCCTCCCAAAGTGCTGGGATTACAGGCTTGAGCCACCGCGCCCAGCCTATTCTCAGCAACTTTTAAACCTACCAAGGAGTCTGAAAGAGCATTAATATACATTACCCAAGTCAAATGAATACCAATTACATTCTTATCCCGAAACAAAAAGGGAAACACTATTGACTTAATTCTAGAATGTTGCTCAAATATTTTATCTCAGACCAAAGCTTATTTGCTCCAAGGAGCCTTCCTGTCTGAACAGCTAACTACTTTTAAATGGCACTCTGTTCCTTTTCCATCTCCCTTTAAATTAAGTCCCAGCTCACCAATTGATCATCATTGTGATTAATAAAGGTCAAGAAGAGCGGGCGTAGTGATGCGCACCTGTAGTCCCAGACTTCCTTGGAGTCTGAGGCTGCAGTGATCCATGATTATGCTACTGCACTCCATCCTGAGTGACAGAGCAAGATACCTACTCAAAATAATGTAAAATAAAATAATAACTAAACAAGGCCAAGAAGAAATTATAAAATTTTCTTCTGAAAATAAGGAAAAGTTAGTGACTTTGCAGTGTTTTTCAGATGGTCTATGTTAGCAGCAAAAACTGACCTGTAAATTTAGCTCTTATGTTGTTTCCTTCCCAATTAGGATTGCTTTTTTCATGCTTTTTGAAAATATTTATGTTGGGAGGTTTATATGAAAAAAAAAAAAAAGGCTTTGAGAGAACAGGAATGAAAAGGGAAGGATGCACAAATTAAAAAGTCAAGATGGCAAATGTATTACTTTGGTATATTTTAAGCAGCTGTAACAACAACAACAACACCCTAAAATTCAAAGGCTCAAACAAAATAGAATTTTATTTCTTTCTTATCTAATGATCCAGGGATGAGCATTTCCAAGCCAGTAGGGAAGCTCTTTCCTATAGATATCTTGTTACTCTTCCATTTTCTACAGTGTTCTCTGAATTGTTTGAGGTTGGATTACACATGCTAGTCCACGTCCCATCTTGCAAGAAGGGAAAAAGATATTAAGTGGCAAGCAAGAAATTTCTTCTTTAAACCATTTTATTTGGAAGTTATACATACCGCTTTTATTATGAAGGAGTTGATGCAATAGATATGAAATGTATGTGAATGTGTGTACACACCTATATATATGATAAAATATACAAAATGTAGAATAAGGATGTATACATTACATACACATATATTTATACAGTCTCAGACAATGCAATGACACAACTAAAATGAGACTTATGAAGCATTTGGGTGTCTTTGTTGGAAACATATTTAAAATTTGTCAGATTAATGTTAGTCAGCAACTGCATATTCCTTTTCATTTTTTCCTGCCACTATTTTGATTGTCTTATAGATTTTTACACTTGCAACCCAAACTTAACAAGAATAAGTGAGATTTTCTTTGAATAATTATTGTATAGAAGAGTTAATACCTCTCACAAAATAGAATACCAATACGTTTGGGAAGATTGACAGAAGGAAAGAGAAGATACGATTTAGATCTTCAAAAGAAAAGAAAGACCTAGATGTTTTGTGAAAAATTCATAAAGTTATGAAAAGCAGAAATCTGCAATATAATTTCAATTTCTACTCTATGGTAGGAATCTGTATTAAAAGCGCATATTTCAAAACAAAATTCCTTTGATTCTCATGTGTAAATGTCCCATATACACATTTGTACTCTCAAAATATTATGCCATTTCATAAAATTGTTTATGTAGCTCTACTAACACAAGGCTTATTAAATCAACTCAATAGAATGAGAGGAAATTACTTTGGCCAGTCTTTTCTTTTTTTCTAGTTCTGCTATAGAAGCATTTTAGCATCTATCACTTTTAAAAGAAATAGAAGATTCCTTAAAGTAAGACTGACTGCCTTCTATTTCAGACAAAGTAATATTAAGCCTCTTTTAGAATACGGTAAATAGTGGGAAAAAAATAGCAATTGTTATAAAGGGCAGCTTTGCCCTACAAATTTAAATTAAATTCAAGTATTTTTGTGAGTTATTATAAAATGGATTTGGCTCCTCCATGCTTGGTCTCTCGGAGAGCTGGAGCCCTTGTGCTTGCTGGTCCCCATGCTGGAGCTCTTCCGCTTTTCCACAGGTACCCAGCTTTTATCACCACCACGTACAGAGATATTTTTAACTTACTATATTTTTCTCTTAAAGACTTTGAGCTGAGGATCTAGAAGTGGATTCTATCACCAAGAAATGAGCCTGAAGTGAAATCATTTTCTCTGGTTAATCTGCATTACAATTTATTTAAATGCTGATAAACAGGAATTGACATATTATCAATTAAAAAATTGTATCAAAGAAATATATTTAACAGGATGAGGTATATTGTAAGTGTCTTATGATTAGTATAGATGATCAGTATTTTAGAAATGCAGGGGTAGGAAAGATCATTGTGCATAGAACTATTCAAGGAACTCTTCATAGTGGAATGCAGTGGAGATGGGCAGATTTCAACAAGGCAGAGTGGAAAGGAAAAAAAAACTTAGCGGGGAGGATATTCTGATCAAATTCTTCAACCATCTTCTCCACAATAATATTGAATGTTTATTGTGTACTTACTCTGTGGCAGGAATTTTATAAAGATTATTTCATGTGACAGAAATAATCAACATGAATTTTTTAAAATTAGTACTTTTGACTTGAGTGCCAACATAATCTCCCCTTTAGATGTATGAATGCTCATACACAGATCAGTTTGCTAATTCATTTAAGGTAACATAGCTAATGAACAGCAGAAACATGATGCAAACCTGTGTGTGACTCTGGAATTCACATGCTTAACCACTGTAATATAAAGGCATTCATATTACAAAGTCATGGAATGCATCTCTTTCATCTCACTTCTACTATCAGTGATTACCTTTCAGGCCTTTATCATACCTGACATGAACTGCTATTACAACCTTCTTAAAGTATGGCTTACCTAATTTTAATATCTGTCTCTCTAGCCTATCCTTCATAATGTCCACCTCATGTTCTGCTCATTCTTTCCCTATTCAAAACCTTTTAGAGGCTCCCTATGTATAAAAAATACACACACACTTAAATAAATCTTTTGATATCCTCATTTAACCCAATTTACTTTTCAACATTTTTGCCCTCCCTACTGCTCACTCTGCTTCATATCGGATTAAGGTATGCACTTACTTGTCTTTCCCATTAGATTTGCAATTACTTAGGGACAAAAGAAATGCCATTTCTTGCCCTCTATAGTTCTTAGCAAACTTCCAAACATATGGTGGACATTTATCAAATGTTTGTTTCTTTGAATTTTGCTGAATCAGCATGCTGTAAGTATCATGAACAGGCTGTGTTGACTAAAGCAGTAAGATACGAAGGGAGGAAGCAATAGAAGTGCATGGTAGGGGAGCCGTATTGTGGGGGCACATCAAAGCTCAGTGTCAGAAGTCAGGACTTTAACTTGAAATAGGCAACAAAATGTGCTTTGAGATGAAACATGGTAAAGTACATGGCAAGGTATAAAGCCAAATTTCACTGTAATATTCCCTCTGTTGCCATTCTTCTTCCTACATACAAATGGCATGCATTTTGCAAATACCTTACGAAAATCATTGCCTACATCCCATGAATGAAGCAGTTCTCGATGTTATTCCATGTCATTTTCACAAATTCCCAAGATAGTTCTACTTTTTCAGTGTCTGTGAATACTTGCTCCTATGAGCATCAATGTCTCTTTGAGATGGTACAACAGATTGCCACTAGTATTATAACTGGGCATGGTAAAGCATGACATTTTAATCACCTGAAAGTGAATGGGGAAACTGAGCTGAACAGGGACACAGCTCATTGGCAGTGGTGGCTGGAGCAGACTTACTAGCACCTGTCAGAATGTCCTGGTATCTACAATATGAGAACAGATTCCTCCTGGCTACTCTCCAGGTTAAGGTCACAATCCTAATACTGACAAAGTTGCTTTCTTTGAGATTCTTTATCTATAAAATGAGAAAGAACACTTATATGCTCTGGCGGTTTTTATTTTGGAGTTTCTGTTTGTTTGGAGTATAGAGGAAGTGTCAGCTGATACATAATAAATATCAAAAAATTTAAAGTATAAACCAAGATTTGATATAAAGATTTTTTTAAATAATCAAATTCTGTAATTAGAGATGTAAACTCAAACCATAAGTACAACATTGGGATGTTGATATCCTTATAAGCCTTTTTAGTCTCTTTCTGTTGGACAAATCATTGAAAGGTCTCTGAGAAGATAGCCTGATAGCATCTGGAAACTTCCAAAGTCTTTCATCCTGTTTTTATGAAACTTCTCCATCTTTCAGAAATGTCATGAGGCAGCATTATATAGAGGAAAGGGCTCTGGGTTAGGCATAAGCATCGTAAAGACTAGGCCCTGGTGTGTAGAAAGTCTCAACTTCTCTATGCCTTAGTTTTCTTACTGGTAAAATATGGTCGGTAAATAAAATCATTGCAGGAGTCCTTTCCTGCTCTAATGTTTAGTGATGCTGTGATAGCAAATTTTCTCAAAATCAGTCTCACAAGTAAGAAAAATGTTGAATGTACAATTGGTCACAGTCTCACAGCATATCCATGGATTTTCTGGTGTGGTCCATTGACAGTTCTTAATAAAGATGAGTAAGATTTAGTCCTTGTTCTGAAGATGTTTATAACCTATTAAGAAGAAAAACACAAAGGCATTTAATATAAAGCAAAGTGTAATAAACTATTACTTGAATCCAAAGATAAATAAAATATAGTCAAGTAAAATCAGTGGAGAACATATTATTTAAAGTGTTAACATTTGATTTTGTTATGGGATCTTGGGGTTGTCTCTTTCCTGGCTGGAAACCTCTGTGGCCAGTGACACTTTTGCCAGAGTTTTGCTTGGGCCCACTGGGCTCATTTCACCCACTTGGCCAGTAGGCTGTGCTTGGCTCATGCTACTGGCCTGGATCTTATGCCTGCCAAGGAATCTGTATCCCATGCCTACCAAGGATGAGTCAGGTGTGGAACAGTGAGGGATGTGTGAGCAAGTGTGGGGTCTGGCCATGGTGCACAGTCAGACACACCGACTGCTGTAGTGGGGTAGGCAACTCCAGGTGCTGGCTGTCTGCAAGGCTACACCCAGACCAGGTGCACTGCAAGTAGCTTCCACAGCTGGCACTAGGGAATGTGGTGGCACCTGGAATCTTGAAGATGCCAGGAACCATAGGATCCCAAAGAGGGAGTCACAGTCCTGGATTGGGAAACTCCTAGGTCTGGGCTCCCCACAGGTCCACAACTCTTCGCTCCTTTTTTTCTCCCACAACATGATGAGCAAAAGGGACATATGTCAGTCCTGTTCATGTTACTGTTCTTTTAGCCTCACCATTCAGTGAGTCCTGAGTTCTTGTCCTGTGACCAGGATAAATGAGATATGCAAACAAATGAAGGGTGAACAAGACAAAGAGGAGCATTATTGAACAATAGAACAGCTCAGGGGAGACCTGTAGGGGCCAGCTCCTTTCTGCAGCCAGGGTGTCTGGATGAGTGTTCAGCTCCTTGCAGAGAGAATAGCACCTCTCTTCAGGCAGGCAGTCCCAACAAGTGTTCAGATCCTAGTAGAAAGTGTAGCTCCTCTCTGCAGCTGGTCATCCTATCATCTGTTCTGCTCTGGCTGAGCCCTGGGCTTTTATGGGCCTCAGTGCGAAGGAAGTACATGCTGTTTGGTCCATAGGCAGCCATTGGTGAGCCCAGAAAAGGCACCACAAATCCCCACTGTTGTCTGCAGAGCTCGCAGCCTGGCCCCCAGCCTTCAGGTCCTCCCTGGCCTAAAGGTGGGGCCTCACCAGGGACCTGCCCCTTTCTACACAGGAGCCTGTCTGCCTCTTGCTGCTGTCCATGGCACCCAGGCTGCTCGCACCAAGGGGCACCTGCAGGCCAGCATCCCGTCAACTCCCCCCCTACATGCTCATCAACACCCAAAGTCCAGAGGGGGCTGAGGCATCAGAGGGCTGGCATGTCAGCACTACCCTAAGTGATCAGACACCTGGCTGGGCTATGACAGCACCCAGGCTCTGCCCCCAACCCTGCTCCAAGATTGGAGCAGGCACCAGGAATGAGGAGAGGCAAGTCAGTGGAAGCAGACATTGCCAAGCCTGAGGGACAGGGAGGCCTTTCTGGGCCCCTGATGGTGCAAAGTGCAGAGATACCCAGGTCCTACGTTTGGGAGGGCAGGGCTCACACCCACTCTATGGAGTGTGCAGGCAGCCCCAGCTGCACCTCCTCACAGCCTGGGGCTGGGGCTCCAGGTCCTTGCTGGGCCCCTCTCTTCCCACCCCTCTGTGCCTGACCACACTGCTCCCCAGCCAATGGGTGTCTCAGCCTGGCTCCATCGTGGTAAAATATGGAAGGTAAATAAAATCATTGAAGGAGTCCTACCATCGTGGTAGCCCCCAGGGCAGTGGGCTTCAGGGAGAGTCTTGCTTGTCCCTAGTTCCTGCCAGCTCTGTGGATTGCAGCACCACTCCAGACCCAGCTCTGCCTCCTTCCCACACCCTCCCCACAGTTGTGGCAGATGACAGCAGCAACTACACAGCCAGGGTGCTGAGCAGTAGAGACTATGGACCTGGGAGCCAGTCCTGGGCAGTGCAGTCTGCTGCTCGGGGACACGAGACACAGGGGCCCATTGCGGCCACTGATGATGCTCCCACAGCCACTCCTGCCACCACCACCAGTCCCTCCCTGATGACAGCAGCTGCTCCGAATGGCCTGCCACTGCCATTAATTTAAGCCTTGAAGAATCAATAGCCTTAATCATAGATGGGGATTAAATGGGAGTGAGAATTCAGGAGCACACATTGGTGGGGATAAATGTTAAAAATCGTAGAGCATTATATGACAACACTGAGGAGTAGAATTTGGAATACTGGTCTCTGGGAGACAAGAACTAAGATAGGTTAGGACAAAGAAAAGACAGCCTTGAATGCCAGATGCAAGAGATCAGAGGTAATGGAGACCATAGTCAATTTCTGAGCAAGGGAATTAAATGAGAAGGTCAAAACTGTACTTGAAACTGGTATCAATGAAGGTCGAATGGTGAAATTAATGATCTCTTACCCAGATAAAGAAGGGCAAGGTGTGAAGCTGGCTGCAGATGTGAGAACAGAAATAAAGGGAGGTACATTCTAATGCTTAATAAATGCTCTGCTTTATAAATGTTCCATAAGTGCCTACTAAGATCTTAGTGCTGGGTAAGGTGTGAGAATACAAAGATGAACAAAATATTGTCCTCTGTCAAAAATGGCTTGTTGGATAAAAGGATGACTTCAAAAAGTTGAAGCTTGCTTCACAGTTTTAAGCTGTGTAACTCTGAACAAGTTGCTTACTTCCTTAATTTTCTTATGCATAAAAAGAGGGTGATTAATAATATTCCTCTAAGTATTATGATGAAGATAAACTAGGTTAATGTAAGACAACAGATTTTCTGTCATAAAGGATTCAGTATATATTTGCTACTTCTACTTCCACACAGAATTACACAGGTGAATTAATTTCAGAAGGAAGAATTCGGTTTGGTGAAAGTAAGAGTCACATCGAAGAGCAAAACAAAAGAAAAGGGATATCTTTTTTGATATATACATATATATGTATACACACACACACATATATATATATACATGCATGATTGTTGCATAGGTACATACATGGCAATGTAGTTTGCTGCCTCCATCCCCCCATCACCTATATCTGGCATTTCTCCCCATATTATCCCTCTTCAACCTCCTGACCCCACCGTCCCTCCTCTAGTCCCCCCACAACAGACCCCAGTGTGTGATGCTCCTCTTCCAACAATATTTTTGTGTGTATATATATACATATATATATTATTGCACTTTAGGTTCTGGGGTACATGTACAGAACATGCAGGACTGTTGCATAGGTACATACATGGCAATCTAGTTTGCTGCCTCCATCCCCCCGTCACCTATATCTGGCATTTCTCCCCATGTTATCCCTCCCCAACCTCCCTACCTCCTGCTGTCCCTCCCCTGTTCCCCCTCAACAGACCCGAAGTGTGATGCTTCTCATTGCTCAACACTCGCCTATGAGTGAGAACATGCAGTGTTTTGATTTTCTGTTCTTGTGTCAGTTTGCTGAGAATGATGGTTTTCAGATTTATCCACGTCCCTACAAAGGACATGAACTCATGGTTTTATGGCTGCATAGTATTCCATCGTGTATTTGTGCCACATTTCCTTGTCCAGTCTATCATCAATGAGCATTTGGGTTGGTTCCAGTCTTTGCTATTGTAAACAGTGCCACAGTGAACATTCGTGTGCATGTGTCTTTATAACAGAATGATTTATAGTCCTTTGGATATATACCCAGTAATGGGATTGCTGAGTCAAATGGAATTTCTATTTCTAGGTCCACGAGGAATTGCCACACTGTCTTCCACAATGGTTGAACTAGTTTATACTACCACCAACAATGTAAAAGTGTTCCTATTTCTCCACATCCTCTCCAGCATCTGTTGTCTCCAGACTTTTTAATGATCACCATTCTAACTGGTATGAGATGGTATCTCAATGTGGTTTTGATTTGCATTTCTCTAATGACCAGTGATGATGAGCATTTTTTCATATATTTGTTGGCTTCATATATGTCTTCTTTTGAAAAGTCTCTGTTCATGTCCTTTGCCCACTTTTGAATGGGTTTGTTTGTTTTTTTCTTGTAAATCTGTTTTAGTTCTTTGTAAATTCTGGATATTAGCCCTTTGTCAGATGAGTAGACTGCAAAAATTTTTTCCAGTTCTGATGGTTGTTAGTTCACGCTAATGATTCTCTCTTTTGCTGTGCAGAAGCTCTGGAGTTTAATTAAATCCCATTTGTCTATATTAGCTTTTGTTGCCAATGCTTTTGGTGTTTTAGTCATGAAGTCCTTGCCTATGCCTATGTCCTGAATGGTTTTGCCCATGTTTTCTACTCGGGTTTTTTAATGGTGTTAGGACTAATGTTTAAGTCTTTAATCCATCTGGAGTTAATTTTACTGTAAGGTGTCAGGAAGGGGTCCACTTTCTGTTTTCTGCACATGGCTAGCCAGTTTTCCCAACACCATTTATTAAACAGGGAATCCTTTGTCCATTGATCGTTTTTGTCAGGTTTGGATGCTCTGTTCTGTTCCATTGGTCTGTATCTCTGTTTTGGTACCAGTACCATGCTGCTTTGATTACTGTAGTCTTGCAGTATAGTTTGAAGTCAGGTAGCATGATGCCTCCAGCTTTGTTCTTTTTGCTTAAAATTGCCTTGGCTATGCATTCTCTCTTTTGGTTCCATATAAAGTTTAAGGTGTTTTTTTCCAGTTCTGTGAAGAGGGCTATAGGTAGCTTGATGGAGATAACATTGAATCTATAAATTACTTTGGGCAGTATGGCCATTTTCAAATATTGATTTTTCCTAACCATGAGCATGGAATGTTTTTCCAACTGTTTGTGCCCTCTCTTATTTTGTTGAACAGTGGTTTGTAGTTCTCCTTGAAGAGATCCTTCACATCCTTTGTTAGTTACATTCCTAGGTATTTTATTCTCTTTGTAGCAATTGTGAATGGCAGTTCATTCTTGATTTGGCTCTCTTTAAGTCTATTATTGGTGCATAGGAATGCTTGTGATTTTTGCACATTGATTTTGTATCCTGAGACTTTGCTGAAGTTGCTTATATCAGTTTCAGGATATTTTGGGCTGAGATGACAATCATGTCATCTGCAAATACAGACAATTTGACTTCCTCCAATTGAATACCCTTTATTTCTTTTTCTTGCCTGATTGCTCTGGCTAGAACTTCCAATATTATACTGAATAGGAGTGATGAGAGAGGGCATCCTTGTCTAGTGCCAGATTCCAAAGGGAATGCTTCCAGTTTTTGCCCATTCAGTATGATATTGGCTGTGGGTTTGTCGTAAATAGCTTTTATTATTTTGAGATATGTTCCATCGATACCTGGTTTATTGAGAGCTTTTAGCATAAAGGGCTGTTGAATTGTGTTGAAGGCCTTCTCTGCATCTATTGAGATAATCATGTGGTTTTTGCCTTTGGTTCTGTTTATGTGGTGGATTATGCTTATAGACTTGCATATGTTGAACCAGCCATGCATCTCTGGGATGAAGCCTACTTGATTGTGATGGATAAGCTTTTTGATGTGCTGTTGCAATTGGTCTGCCCATATTTTATTGAAGATTTTCATATCTGTGTTCATCATGGATATTGGCCTGCAGTTTTCTTTTTTTTGTTGAGTCTCTGCCAGGTTTTGGTATCAGGATGATTTGGGAAGGATTCCCTCTTTTTGACTTGTTTGGAATAGTTTCAGAAGGAGTGGGACCAGCTCCTCTTTGTATGTCTCGTAGAATTCGGCTGTGAACCCATCTCAACCTGGGTTTTTCTTTTTGGTTGGTAGGCTATTAATTGCTGCCTCAACTTCAGACCTTGCTATTGGTCTATTCAGTGTTTCAACTTCATCCTGGTTTAGGCTTGGGAGGGTGAAAGTGTCCAGGAATTTATCAATTTCTGCCAGGTTTACTAGTTTATGTGCATAGAGTTGTTTGTAGTAATCTCTGATGGTAGTTTGTATTTCTGTGGAATCAGTGGTGATTTCCCATTTATCATTTTTTATTGCATCTATTAGATTATTCTCTCTTTTCTTCTTTATTAATCTGGCTATTGGTCTATTTTGTTGATCTTTTCAAAAAACCAGCTCCTGGATTTATTGATTTTTTTTTTTTTTTTTTAAATTTTTTATTGGATTATAGGTTTTGGGGTACATGAGCAGAGCATGCAAGACAGTTGCGTAGGTACACACATGGCAGTGTGCTTTGCTTTTCTTCTCCCCTTCACCCACATTTGGCATTTCTCCCCAGGCTATCCCTCCCCACCTCCCCCTCCCACTGGCCCTCCCCTTTTCCCCCCAATAGACCCCAGTGTTTAGTACTCCCCTTTCTGTGTCCATGTGTTCTCATTTTTCATCACCCACCTATGAGTGAGAATATGCGGTGTTTCATTTTCTGTTCTTGTGTCAGTTTGCTGAGGATGATGTTTTCCAGATTCATCCATGTCCCTACAAACGACACGAACTCATCATTTCTGATTGCTGCATAATATTCCATGGTGTATATGTGCCACATTTTTCCAATCCAGTCTATTATCAATGGGCATTTGGGTTGAGACCTGGATTTATTGATTTTTTTGAAGGGTTTTTTGTGTCTCTCCTTCAGTTCTGCTCTGATATTAGTTATTTCTTATCTTCTGCTAGCTTTTGAGTTTTTTTTGATATTGCTCAGCTAACTCTTTCAATTTTGATGATAGGGTGTCAATTTTAGATCTTTCCTTTCTTCTCAGGGGGGCATTTATTGCTATAAATTTTCCTCTAGACACTGCTTTAAATGTGTCCCAGATATGCTGGTACATTGTATCTTCATTCTCATTGGTTTTGAAGAACATCTTTATTTCTGCTTTCATTTCATTGTTTATCCGGTCAACATTCAAGAGCCGGTTGTTCAGTTTCCATGAAGTTGTGTGGTTCTGTGTTAGTTTCTTAATCCTGAGTTCTAATTTGATTGCACTGTGGTCTAAGAGACTGTTTGTTATGATTTCCATTCTTTTGCATTTGCTGAGGAGTGGTTTACTTCCAATTATGTGGTCAATTTTAGAGTAGGTGTGATGTGGTGCTGAGAAGAATGTATATTCTGTGGATTTGGGGTAGAGAGTTTTGTAAATGTCTATTAGATTTGCCTGGTCCAGATCTGAGTTCAAGTCCTGGATATCCTTGTTAATTTTCTGTCTCGTTGATCCATCTAATATTGACACTGGAGTGTTGAAGTCTCCCACTATTATTGTGTGGGAGTCTATGTCTCTTTGTAGGTCATTAAGAACTTGCTTTATGTATCTGGATGTTACTATATTGGGTGCATATATATTTAGGATCATTATCTCTTCTGGTTGCATTGATGCTGTTAACTATTATGTAATGTCCTTCTTTGTCTCTTTTGATCTTTGTTGGTTTAAAGTCTAGGATTGCAACTCCTACTTTTTTTTTTTTTTTTTTTTTGCTCTCCATTTGCTTGGTAAATCTTCCTCTATCCCTTTATTTTGAGCCTATGTGTGTCCTTGCATGTGAGTTGGGTTTCCTGGAAATGACACACCAATGGGTTTTCACTTTTTATCTAATTTGCCAATCTGTGTTTTTTGACTGGGGCATTTAGCCCATTTTCATCTAAGGTTAATACTGTTATGTGAGAATTTGATCCTGTCGTTTTGATGCTAGCTGGTTGTTTTGTCCTTTAGTTGATGCAGTTTCTTCACTGTGTCAATGCTCTTTACCATTTGGTACGTTTTTGGAGTGGCTGGTACTGGTTGTTCCTTTCTATGTTTGGTGCTTCTTTCAGGAGCTCTCGTAAGGTAGGCCTAGTGGTGATGAAATCTCTCAGCAATTGCTTGTTCCTAAAGGATTTTATTTCTCCTTTGCTTATGAAACTTAGTTTGGCTGGATATGAAGTTCTAGGCTGAAATTTCTTTTCTTTAAGGATGTTGAATCTTGGCCTCCACTCTCTTCTGGCTTGTAGGGTTTCTGCCAAGAGATCTGCTGTGAATCTGATAGGCTTCACTTTGTGGGTAACCCAACCTTTCTCTCTGGCTGCCCTTAGCATTTTTTCCTTCATTTCAACCCTGGTGAATCTGTTGATTATGTGCCTTGGGGTTGCTCTTCTTGAGGAATATCTTTGTGGTGTTCTCTGTATTTCCTGGACTTGAATGTTGACCTGCCTTCCTAGGTTGGGGAAGTTCTCCTGGATAATATCCTAAAGAGTATTTTCCAGCTTGGATTCATTCTCTCTGTCACATTCAGGTACACCTATCAAATGGATATTAGGTATTTTCACATAATCCCACATTTCTTGGAGGCTTTGTTCCTTTCTTTTCACTCTTTTTACTCTAATCTTGACTTCTCATTTTATTTCATTGAGTTGATTTTCAATCTCTGATACCCTTTCTTCTGCTTGGTCAATTCAGCTATTGAAACTTTTGTATACTTCATGAAGTTCTAGTGCTTTGTTTTTCAGCTCCATCAAGTCATTTATATTCTTCTCTAAGCTGTTTATTCTCATTAGCATTTCATCCAACCTTTTTTCTTAGTTTCTTTGCATTGGGTTAGAACATGTTCTTTTAGCTCAGAGAAGTTTGTTATTACCCACTTTCTGAAGCCTGTTTCTGTCAATTCATCAGACTTATTCTCCATCCAGCTTTGTTCCTTTGCTGGTGAGGAGTTGTGATCCCTTGCAGGAGGAGAGGCGTTCTGGTTTTTGGTGTTTTCATCCTTTTTGCACTGGTTTCTTCCCATCTTTGTGGATTTTTCTACCTGTGGTCTTTGTAGTTGGTGACTTTTGGATAGGGTCTCTTGAGTGGACATCCTTTTTGTTGATGATAAAGTTATTTCTTTCTGTTTTTTAGTTTTCCTCCTAACAGTCAGGTCCCTCTGCTGTAGGACTCCTGGAGATCCACTCCAGGCCCTGCTTGCCTGGGGATCACCTGCAGCAACTGCAGAACAGTATGGGTTGCTGCCAGTTTCTTCTTCTGTTATCTTCGTCCCAGAAGGATACCCACCAGATCAGCCTGAGCTCTCCTTTATAAGGTGTCTCTTTGGATATACAGCAGTCAGGGAGCTGCTTGAGGAGACAGTCTGTCCCTTATAGGAGCTCAAGTGCTGAGCTGTCAGCTTTGTTGCTCTGTTCAGAGCTGCTGGGCAGGTACATTTAAGTCTGCTGCAGCAGAACCCATTTTTCCCAGGTGCTCTGTCCTGGGAAGATGGAGCTTTATTTTTAAGTTCCTGATGTGCTGCTGCCTTTTTTTCAGAGATGTCCTGCCCAGCAAGGAGGTAACCTAGTCACAGTCTGCCAGCAGAGGCATTGCTGAGCTGCTATGGGTTCTGCTCACCTGCTGTGTGAACTTCCTTGAGGTTTTGTTTATAGAGGTATAATTAGAACTGCATGAGTAATGGTAGTCTGCCTCAGTAATGGCGGACTGCCTCGGTAATGGCAAATTGCCTCAGTAATGGCGGACTGCCTCGGTAATGGCAAATTGCCTCAGTAATGGTGGACTGCCTCGGTAATGATGTACGCCCCCTACAGAGCTGGTTTGTCCTGGGCCCAGCTGCGCTTGCTGCGAAACTCTCATTCCAGAGTGTTTCAGATTACTGGTCTTTGTGGGGTGGGGGACATGCTGAGCCGGATCTCCTAGCTCCCTGTTTCAGCCCTGTTTTTTTCAGTTGAATGGGTGGCTCTGTATTCCAGGCATTCCAAGCACCAGTTGAAACGGCTGCCCAGATTTGTGAGTTTTTGTGTGAAGACCCACGGCTAAAACAGCTGTGCTGGAAACTCGTGGCACTTTTCAGGCTGGGAATCTTCTGGTCTGTGGGCAGTGAAAACTTGTTTGGAAATGCAGTGATCACTCACCTTCTGTATTGTTCTTGCTGGGAACTGCATTCCAGCGCTGTTCCTATTTGGCCATCTCTGGATATCTCTTAAAAGTGGTTAGAATCCATTTATTAATATTAGTTTAGCTCAAGAATGAATACAAACAACTTGAGAGGCTTCACCTAATCTAATAATTTAAAAACATATTATTTCTCAGAGGAAAAGAACTTTCAGAGCAGAAGAACAAATTATATCTTTTATATTAAATTAATAAGGAGTTCATGTATAATAATTCAATCCATTTTGCATTACTTTATCAATGATGAAGATTGAAAATACTATTAGAAGCATGATACTTTATCCTTGACTATCTAGTTTTTCTAAGCTATCTTTTTTAATTGAACAACAAAATCTTTGCAATTGAAGATTTTTTATATTACTCATTTAATGTCTGTCATTTTGAACATTTTCACTCCTGCTTCCCCTCCACCCTTTTTGACTGGGCTGCCTCTTTCCCAATCCTTGAAAACGTTGAATTTATCCAGAAAAGCTGTAAAATTAAAGTAATACAATTTCCCAATGTTTAGCACAGGGGATATTATGGTTTGGGGGATAAACCAACTCCTGAGAGTTTTTGTTTATCTACAGGTCCTTCCTTATGTGTCTAAAAGTAAACTCTGCTGCGAGTAGCACTATCAAAGCTGCTTTTGTGTGTCAGCATTTATTTTAGCTTTCATTGTCAAAGATCATGCAGTTTTCTTGTTTCTATTTATCAACCTAAATATCCCTTAGTCACCAATCTCTTCTGAAAGCCTATAATCCTGAAACAGATTTCCTGAGCAAGATGGAGTTAAATAAAACACTCATTTTCTAAAACATGGAACATTTGTCCTAATTTCACACCTTATGCTGCAGCTCAGTCAGTGCTTGAAAGGCAAAGCATGCAGCCAGAAAGCAAGTTCCAACATTACCTCTTCTATTGCATTGCACCTTTCAAACCCCTAAGACAGAACAAGATGCACTAACATGCCTCTTTGCTTTACAGTGAAGCACTGTTTGGATTATATCAAAATCAGAGACCTGAAGAAAGATGTTTAATTTACATTCAAGCCCTGTTTCAAATCTTGTCTACTATATTCTTTCTGAGCCCCTTTGTTGTTTAAAAAATAATCTTCAAAGTATCTTCAGTAATGGAAAGCAGTTTATTCACACAGCATATATTTGTTAAACACTATATCCATATCATTAAAATCACTATATATGGGGTGAGGGCATGGAGATGAACAACAGGTGTAAATTACACAAAAATAGGCAATAAGAAGGTTTTTTCTTGAAGAATTCAGAATTTAGTTGAAAATATAAATAAGAGTATACAAATTATTAGAAAACTATGAATCATAATTTTTCATTTTTAGCTTCATGTCTATTTTCAGATACACAGAAATGCTTATAGATATTTAAATTCAAACTCCTCTTTCATCAAAGATAGAGAGTAATGTTTATTTATAAGAAACTGGATAAAAGAAGCTTAGAGAGTTATTTGAACAATAGAAACAAAAGACAGGTATCTTTCTTAGTAAATATTAGAAATGTCAAAGATTAAATGAAACTGATTTTAATAAACAATGATTAGTTTCTAATTTGCATTTAGACATGTTCATAAACATTGCCTTTTATGACTTGCTAAAGTTTGAGTTGGACATGCATAATCTCTATCCTTAGTTAGCAATGTGTATATAAACCTCTATTTCTTTCCCAATCACTGATGTAGGAAAATCAGTATGTCCCCTCCACAAACATTGGTTAATTGTTTGTATCTAGTATTTGCAAGTAGATTCTTCTTTACCCTATTATTTCTGTTCCTTGACTGTAGGGTAAGTTCAAAGGGAGAACACATGGTAATGTGTTCAAAGGGCTTATGAGTCATAGGCTAAAACCTTAGCAGCTTGGCAGATGAGCTGTGCTTAAAATTTAGAAATGATCTCAGCATTGATGTACTATGGAACCCATAGCTGGAATTTCTACTTTGTCTTAGTCCATTTTGTTTTGTTATAACAGAATGCCACAGATGAGTGATTTATAAATAAAATACATTTATTTCTCACAGTTATGGAGGCCAGGAAATTCAATATCAAGGTACTGGCACCTTGCAAGAGCTTTCTTGCTGCATCATCCCATGAAGGTAAGAAGGTGAGAGAGGGTTTGAGAGCAATAGAGACAAGGGGTCAAACTCAGCATTTTATCAGAAAACCACTTCTGAGATAACTAATCCATTCCTGAGATAATGGCATTAATCCATTCAGGAGGGCAGAGGCCTCATAATCTAATTACCTCTTAAAAGTCCCACCTCCTAACACTGTTGCACTGGGAATTTAGTTTTCAACATGTGAATTTTGAGGGGCACATTTAAACCATAGCATACTTTTAAAAAGGAAGTTTGTGGAGGAGAAAATAATGGACCAGTTGGTCACTTGATTTTTCATTTGTTCATTATCATATTCTCATTAGATTGAGTTCAAGTCATTTTATATATTTTCTGGGTTGACCACATAAACATAACTAGCATTATGTTTACATTATGTTCATTACCACATTCTCATTAGATTGAGTTTAACTCATTTTATATATTTTCTGGGTTGAACATGTAAACATAACTAGCATAGTGGTTAAGAACATAGACTTGAACCGGATTTGCCAATTTTGAACAATGCTTCTGCCATATAAGCTTGAGTAATTTTCTTCACTTCTGTCCTCATTTCCTAATGGTATCAACTTCCAAATGCTTTGGGAGAATTAATTGAATTGATATAGGTAAAGATTTTAGAGCAGTGTCTGTCCATTGTAAGCATCTCTAAGATTCTGCCATTCCTATATTATTATTCCTTAAAATAATATTAGGATTCTCTACTGTAACTTTCTGCTTCACATACAATTTTAGTAGAGTGAAGAAAAGTTGGCAGTATCAAATGAGGGAAGAGTCTTGCCCTTTGTTTTTAAACATCAAGGTAACCATTTTTAAAAATATCTAATTTCTGTGACATGACCAGTCACCAAAATTTCTCTTTCCTGTGGTTCAAATGAGGTCTACTTCAGTAATCACAATTTAACAAGAATCAACAGAGGAAATGCAAAACACAGTGCTAAAGAAATCTTTCACTCTTATATACACATCAGCTTATACTGAGTATCAATATTTCAATTCTTTTGAAAAACCATACTTTTCCCTTGTTTCATCAATATAGATAACAAATATAATTTATTTTGTCTATTTAAAAAGAAGAAAAACAGTACATAACCAGAGAAATTTAACACTGCCCTGAAATCTAAACATAGCATCTTTTTAATCAAAAACAACAGGTTAATCCTGGCTTTGGAATCAGAAAAATCATATTAAAAATGCATACAGTGTGATTCATTCAAAACCTGAATATAGCAACATACAATCTTATAAAGCCACAGAGATTTTTAGATCAAAGCAAAAAAAGGTAAATCAAACCTGAAATGAATGGATTAACAGAAATGGGAGCGTTACCGTAATATTCCTTTATATTCAGTAACAGAGAAGCAGATTTTGTCAAATCTTGCTTTCTAATTCCCATCTGGAAAAGCCTTGCTCTGGAAGTGAACAGGTTTGAAGGAATGTCTTTGACATCTGTAAAGTTAAAAAGCATCAATAATTGGAATGGGCTTAATCCCTCATTCAACAGCAGGTACTTTATACACAATCATAAGAAGTGATGAAAGTCAGGCACAGATGTACAAATTGTTAGATTTAATCAGATTGGTGATCTACTCCTGGTTTAGTCTATTCTGTTTTAGCTTCTACTTAACCTGAGTTAATGGAAGGAGATGGTCATATGTATAAGGAACAAATCCAGGTCAAAAATCATTTTGGAGATGTCGGGTGACAACTGAGCTTAACCCATGAACCACCAGGTATAGATAGTTTTCATTAACAGTTCTTTGTATATCATCATTCATGTTAGTCTATATTAAACTGATTCTATGAAAAAGGCCTACCTAGTGTTTGTGCCTTTGATATTGTGAAATAAGAAGAGACTGTGTCAAAGAGAAACAATAGTGGGTAGTAGGGTCAAAATAAACAGAGGAAATATACCTGAGACTTAGAGGCTGACAATACCAACTGTCTCTGATGTCTAAAATATTTATTGGAGCAACACACACATTTAGATGCTCTTCAATTTATTCTGTATTCACAGTTCCAGCTGTTAAGTAGTCACCTCTCTTTCCAAATAGTGGTATGGAGATGGAGAAAATAAGATGAAATTTGTAATTGCACAATCAAATTACATTATAGATATAACTAGAAATGGATTAAAAAACTTATGCTTATCTATCATCCCAAATTTTGGGAAAGTGTTTTTATTTCAATTATTTACTATTACTATGTCCTATTGGAAGTCTTAAGGAAAACTTGAAAATATTCTATAACATGTTTCATCAGAACCATTAAGCATATTATTGCCTACTAGATTCTTATTTATTTTATATTTTATTTTATTTTTGAGATAGAGTTTCACTCTTATTGCCCAGGCTGGAGTGCAATGGTGCGATCTCGGCTCACCGTGACCTCCACCTCCTGTGTTCAAGCGATTCTTTTGCCTTAGCCACCCGAGTAGCTGGGTTTACAGGCATGTGCCACCATGCCCAATTAATTTTGTATTTTTAGCAGAGACAGGGCTTCTCCATGTTGGTCAGGCTGGTCTCAAACTCCCGACCTCAGGTGATCTGCCCACCTCGGCGGCCTCCCAAAATGCTGGGATTGCAGGCGTGAGCCACTGTGCCCAGCCAAATTCTTTTTTATTTTTAATTTTGAGACAAACACTCTTTTGCTCACACTGGAGTAGAGAGGCACCATCATATCTCACCACAGCCTCAACCTCTGGGCTGAAGTGGTCCTCCTGCCTCAGACTCCCTAGAGGCTGGGACTACAGGCACACACCACCATGCCCGCTCATTTTTGTGTTTTTTGTAGAGACAGGATCTCAATATGTTGTCCAGGCTGGTCTCCAACTCCTGGCCTTAAGCAATCCTCTTGTCTCAGCCTCCCAAACTGCTAGGATTACAGGCGTAAACCACTGCACCGAGCCCAGATTCTTTATATGGTGCTGTACATGCTCTTGTAAAATAAACCAAAAACTTGGATAATAAATTATATAAGAACTAATACTACTAGAAATTGTTATTTTCAAACTCAGTCATACATGCAAATGTGCTTTTAATTTCTAACATCCATATTGTACATATATATATATTAGTTGTCAGTATTCTTGTACTTCCATAATGATAGAATATCTTAAAATTAAGGAATTTAATAGTCAAATAGAGATTTACATTCAGAGAAAAGAAAAATACCCTTTTCAGTTTTGTCTCATTTTCATGCAAATAATTTTTGTTCTTACTCTCCCATCTTCATTAAATCTTTATTTCAGTATAAAAAATCTGCAAACTCCATATGCAGCAACCTCTCCCCCTCTTCTGACCTCAATCATACACAAAACTTTATAACAGAATTATTTCTTACCATATGGGATCTGAGACTAAGATCAAACCCAACCTAGACAAATGCCATGCAGTAAGTTGACAACTGTTCCTGGAGTCCTGGGCAATGCCTGGGAGAGCGCCTGCCAGGGCCTACTGTTTTCAAACGAGTTTCATTTCTCTAACAATTTAAATCTGCCAAGAAGAAACCGAGACAATCAAGCTTTGTGCCAAAAAGCCCCAAGCTTAAGCAAGAGATGTATCCTCTCTTTAGCCTGCTGATGAAAGACAGAGCAGAGGGAGAGGAAAGGATAAAGATTCATAATGAGTGGGACAGAGTCTCATATGCTTTTGGAATGCCACAAAAGGACAATTTCTGGCCCTAATGATGTTACTTTGTTGAGCTTCATATCCAGAATAGAGCACACCCTTTTCCTTTTTCTGTTCTAAGTTCCTTTACATTTGGGATTGAGTATTATCTATGTCATATCTTCTTCCCATTTTCCCATCCTCACCCTCCCACAACTGCGTCACCAGAGAAACATCCCACTACAGAGGCTCCTGGTCCAATTTTGAATTTAAAATCTTGGGGCCAAGGAAACCTTCCCAGGGAGACCCAACATTCTCTGCTGTCAGTTTCCTGACCTTTTGCTTCTTTATATCACCTCAAATTGACCTTTAAAAAGGGAGTAAATGAGAAAGTCAGAATATCTATCACATGGACTACAATTTGTGAGAAAAGGAGAGCAAAAGAGAGGGCCTAGTGGTCGCTTTTTACCCCAAAGAGCCATATGCCCTGAGAACGGCTGAGAACCTCGTCTGCCAACCCAGCAGCAGCCTTCCTAACACCTTGTGTTTGAGAAATGAGAGACCTACTGTTTATTATCACGGGTCCAGGTGGTAAAAATCCAAGGTTTATCCAAGCAGATATCTTCAATGGTAATACCAAATGACAATAAATTGAGGTAAAATGTTGCTGTTGCAACTATACAAATGAGCTACAATGTGTACTATTTTGAGGTACAATATTTTCAGAACTACAAATTTATGATGCTTCTAGCAGCTGAAATATAATCTTTTGAGTCATACTGTTCTAGATTCAAATCCCAGCTTACCCACCAAGTAGCTGTGTGACTGGGAAATTTATTTATAAATTGTCTGAGTTCTGGCTTTTTCTTCACAAGGAACATCGAAAACATGTTTCACAGGGTAATTTTGTGAGAATAAAAAAACGGAGATAATTGATGTAAAGCACATAGGACTATTGCAAAGTTATCACTGATGCATGGTAAGCACTCCGTAAATAATAGCTATTAGAAGTTTTCCAATTTGGGATAAAAGTATGAAGTTAAATGAATTTGCTTATTTTGGCCTTAAGACAATCACTGCTTTCGAATTATTTTGCTTTCGAAACTGCTTTGAGATTTTCTCTCAATTGTCTTCCATTTATCCTGAAAAATCCATTACTTATGACCTGATACCAGAGTCATGTAGAAGGCAGATTAGGAAGAAGAGCTTTATAATCACAACTGAGAGTGAATTTAAAATTGATATTGGGTTGGGAATAAACTGAGACACCTTTCTGGAGGATAATTTGGCAATGTCTGTCAAAGCAATCAAAATTTCCTTTCTAGGAATGTACCAAAGGGCATTATGAAGATACAGTTCTAGTGATATACATTGCAATATTTTTTTAATTAAAAACTTATTTGTATGTCCATTGACAGAAGATTGTTTAAATATATTATGATACATCATACCAGTGGAATGTTATGTAACATTAAAAATATTGTAGAAAAGTATTGAATGACATAAAGAAAAATCACTTAAGTGAAAAAATCATACCAAAGATAATATTACAGTGTCCTGTTTTTCATAGAGAGAAAGTCTTAAGAGGATATACACCAAAATATCAGCATCTTATATCAGCATGGTAAGATTATGAATGATTTTATTTTAAGGTTTCTGTTCTTGATTTTCTGAAATGTAAATGATTTTTTTGAACAAGCATGTATTGGTTAGTAATTTTTAAATAATATAAAATAAATTTGAGTTTTACATTTTGCTATTTCATTGAAAATTCAGAAATGTAAATAATGATGTCTGGAAAGCGAAGCATAAATCCACACACAAATTTATCCACACGTATTTATTCATATTTTCTCTAAAATGCCAGTATATTGATATATATTATGTTTGCATACACAAGCATACTAACAGATGAAAAATTCCTACTAATTTCTCATAGAAAATCTGTGCATTTCTTCAAATATTCATTTAAATACCAATGTAAAGCTCTGAGAAATAGTTTCAGAATATCTTTTAACGCCTCTTCTTTGTAAAGTCTTCAAATGCTGCTGACCTTGCATAATAATTTTTTTCTTACAACATATCAATTATTGTTCTGGCACCTCTGGCCTACTCATGAAATCAACGAACTGTGAAATGCCTCTGTGCAGAGTAATATTTCATTTTTGGTACTTTATGTATTAATTACTTTTCTGTTTCTGCTAATATAGTCTGGGGGAAAAAAACACCCCATTCTGTAATGACACGTCAACGGGGAAAGAAGGAAAACAGCAAACAATTCTGATTTGCTGACCTATCAAAAGCTGCTGAGAGAAGAGAATCTCCTGCACCAGTTCCCTCTGCTGTCAGTGTCTCCTTCCCAAACCAGCTGCTTAGCAGGTGAGGGGCCTTCTCATAGCAGACACTGGCTTTGCTGTGTTTAAAATAATGATGCAAGGTTTGAGAAGCAAGTCATTCAAGTCACACCTCATTGTTTTGAGCCTGACATACAAAATAAAATCCAAAACCCAAAGTTCAACTCAATGTCAACCAAAGATGGAATACTGAGTGCAATTAAAATATTTAACAATTTACCAAATTACAATCTGGAAAGAGAAAAAAATGTGGGAAAATACTAGTCTATTAAGATTCTGTTTAGTTGCCACTTCAGCTGCCCAACAGTTAAAATATAAATCAGTGTGATAATCTGAGAGCAGCAGTTTTAATCCTCAATTCCAGGGGTGCTATCTTTCTCTCTCCCTCATACACAGACACACACACACACGCACACACAGACACACACACACATGCCAGTCATTCAGCCTGAACAGAAAAATTCAGGTGTCACATTTCTTGATTCAAGAGCTGTGTTAAGCGGTTGTAAAGCTGCTATAATTTACAGCAAAGAATAAAGCTAACCTAAGAAACCTCAGCCTCAATTTGCTAAAACTTATTACACCTCATTGGCCACTGAATAGCCAAAAGAAGAAAAAAGAAAAAAAACTTATCTGAATAAGAGACTTGACTAGTATTAGCCTAGTGAGAAATGATCGGCTTAAAATTGCTCTGGCTACATCATAGGTTCAGATTAACACTATTTATGATGTTATGATTTCCTATTTCCTGAGTTATATAAAAGCCAAAGGAGCTACTGTAACAGTACTAATGAGTCGATAGATGTTTTCAGATGTCTGTTTGACTCCTGAGTCTAATTAAATGTCTTAATATGACATATGTGGTTCTCCACTGAATATCCCAGCTGTGGAATTAATATGTTACAAAAATATATATACACAATTATCTCAAACTACAGTGAGTTTGAGGCTATAAATATACCAGTTATATTGAATTCACTAACATAGCACTTTGTAAAATGCTATAAACATGCAAAATAAATGACCAAGAATGTGTGACTATTAATAACTAGCCTCTTGTTAATGACACCTCAAAGCCTTGTGAAGGAGAGTGCACTACTTGGATTTTGTACCATACTATCTTTAATCCATATTTTTCATGAGAGTTCTTTTGTAACAACATGTATTCTCATGTGCCAAAATGTTTTGGGGGTTAATGCTAAAGATGGGGTAAAGAACTCATGGTCAAAATGTTATGATGTCAAAGAAAAGTAACAAATGGCTGGTATACCCTAAATTAACAACCCAGTCCAAAATAATTCTAACAGTCTCAGAAATTATTCTATAATGGTAAATTTGGTGAGGCGAAATATTTGCCCACAACTTTACAAAACTTCCATTACCTATTAGCAGATATGTAACACATATTCTTTGTAGTACAAATCCCTTATTGACATTGATTATTATACTAGAAAAGAATTAAAATTTTAAAAATTTACTTGAGTGAGTCACAGCATTTTTACATCTGTATCAATCAATTGTCATCTCATGTGACTGGAGATTCTCAGATCTGATAACTTTCCAAAATATGATTCAGATACTAAAAATTACATTCATGACTAAAGAAGTAGGAGACATTCAAAGATATTAAACAGAAATCTATAGTATATATATGCTTTAAAACATCTATAAACACTTTCTTTAAGAAATACGTAGAAAAAACAAGGCAAATATCCCTTTACCTTATTTGCCCACCTCACCCTCATTGCTCAAGTATTTAAAAAGTTGACGTGTATTTGCTTTCTATTTTAGATTGCTTACTGTGTCACAATTTGTATATTAGTAGAGTTTACTCATTTATGAAAAAATAAAGTGTGTATATTAGGATCATTTTAAGTAAAATTTAAAAGTAAGCATTTCTAGCCATTGTGGATTTATAGAATTCTCTTAAATTCAGTTGATCTCCGAATTATTAAGGAAAATGAGCAACATATGTTCTGCTTAGAACATAGTACAATTTCAGAGTAAAATCAGAAGACTGTTGAATAGAAAGAGGACAAAGGTTAATGTTGGGAAGCAGAAATCACTTCTCACAAGTCATTGGCTTATAAAAATAAAATGCTTATCCTTTTCTGTTTTTCAAGGTGTAATTGTCCATCCTTGATACTACTCATGACTGTTATATAAAACACTGTTGGGAGAAAAAAAATGGAATATTTGAATGCCCAAGGATGTGTGCAGTATCATTCTACCAAAAGCTTCTAACATTGAAGTGTTTGTATTATTAACACCCTCTAAAATTTACTGTAGTGACTAATTTGCTATAGTCACTGGACAGAAATCATGTAGCATGATTTACACTACTACAAAATCTTTACTAACTTGGGCACTGTAAATTTGATCATTTAATAATTTAGTACTAAATCTCTTCTTTTAATGAAAGGAGAGCAATCATGATTATTATTAATGCTATTTTTAGTTAGTTTTAAATTATGCCATTATGATAAAACATTCTACTTAATTTAATATTTCAACTCAAAATTAATTTCCAAAGTCTTTAATTCTAGCCAGTCTGCATAATTACAAGGTATTGTAATACTCTTGCAATTGAATTTCAAAAGTGCATTTAACAACAGAGAATGTTAAGTGAATATAGCTTAGAGTTGGTCTTGGTTTTTCAGACTTCCAACAGACAGCATTCTAAATCAGAAATCATTTTTTTTAATTTTCAAAGAAAGGATAAACAATAGATGAAGCCATGTATATCTGTTTCTGATAAAAGCACTGTATAGTTTTAAAGTATTGTGATGAATTTTCTGTGTGTGTTCTTTCAGAACAGTGCTTTTGAAAAATAAACAACAGTTAACATGTCAGCTCAGAATGCTCTCATGTGTCACCTTCATCCAATTTATGGTATCTGATGAATAGAAAAGTGAATTTCGACATTTTGTAGAAAGCAGTAGTTATTTCACATGCTGACAGGTGTTAGAGTAAAAGCAACTTGCAACTTAAGACCACCATCTACTGGTTTTGCCCAATGCTGCAAAAGCTACAGTGTAGTATGTAATTGATTTTAAATGCACCCCACTAAAGAATTTACCAACATTCTTCTTCCCTATATATGTTTGAAGTTATCATATACCTTTAGAGATTTTGCGCTTGTGTGTGTGATTTGTTCCATTATTTTCTCAATTACCCAGGTTTGAAATTCTGCCTTTGCCTTTTCTGATTAAAATAGAAGCAATCAAACAAAAATTCCCACATCTTACCCACACAAAAGATATCCATCTACCTGCATTACTACTTGTATCTGTGCCTTTGTTGCTGTTTCAATAGAAGGTGTGGTCCTCCTATCAAAGCCCAGGTCTCCACTGTACACTTCACCATGTTTCAGCATTCTAAAAAAACACCTTGCTAATTATGACATTATTAACTTTTCCTCCTCCATTTGATCATTTTCATTAGCATTAAAAAAAACTTTAGGTTTGTGCACTAAAAAACAACTTCTTGAAATTTTACTCACTACTATCCCTTTATACTATCCCCTTCACAGTGAAAATGATTGAACAAGGGTGTCTATAGTCTCCTCTATTGCATGACCTTCTATTTTCTCCTCAACTAATTCCTGAAAGCTTTCTGCCGCCTCACCTTCCACTGAGATTGCCCCTGAGATCACCAATGATTTACATGTTTTCACATCCAACAGTAACACTTTTGCTCTTATATTTAGAGACTTCTCAGCAGCATTGGCCATAGTGACCCTTTCTGTCCTCAAAAGCCCCCCTGGATTTGGCTCGCAGATACTTCACTCTGCTGGTTTTTCCTCCATTTTCACTGGCCATTTCTCTGCTGGCTTCATATTCTCTGCTAGATTTGAAATATTAGAAAGTCTCAGACTTTGTACCTGGTGATCCTTTTCTTCTTTTCTCTACACCCCCTCACTAGGCAATTTCATCCAGTTCCAAGGATTTAAAGAATTCCAAATTTCCAGTGATCTCAAATTTATTTCTCTAGCCTTGAACCTCACCGGAAATATGCTTTTCCATCCAATTGACCTGTTGACATTTCCACTGGAATTTCTAATATGCAACTCATTAACATGCCTCAAACAAAACTTCTTAGATTTGCAAAACTTACCTTTCTCCTGTTTTTAACAAACATCAATAGATCACAATTTGTCTGGTTGCTCTAGGAAACTTATCAACATATCACAATCTATCTAGTTGATCTAGGAAATATTTAGAAAACCTTTCCTTTCCTCTCTTTGCTGTATCTAACCTATTAGCAAGTCTCGTCAATTCTACCTCTGAAATATTTCCCAAATCCATGAACTCCGTCTCAGTAGCTACAAACTGGACTTCTACTATTGTCTCCTAACATATTGCTTGGCTTTTACTCCTGTCATACTGTAATTCCTTTTTCACACATTGGTCAGAATCATTTTTTAAAAAACAGAATTTGTATTATGCAACTGTTCTATTTAAAACTTCCAAATTAAAACCCCTAAGCACCTTGTATAATGTGGGCTGTTTACTTCTCTGTCTTTACCTCTTTATACTCTCTTCCCGCCACATCCCAGACACACTTGTCTTACTTGGGTTCTTCAAGCATGCCAAACTAATTCTTCTCTTGGGGCTTTGTGCTTGCTGGTCCCCATGCCAGTATACTTTGTCCCTAGATCTTTTGAAGGTTGGTTAATTCCCATGATTCAGATCTCTGAAAGAAGTTTTGTTTCTTTCATGACTGTCCTGCCATCCTGGAAAAATGTAATTTCTTGATTTTCAAGCTCCTCAAATCACTTCATTCACTCATTCAACAAATATTTGTTAAAAGGACTAGAGCTTGTCCAACCTGCCTTATTTTGTTGTTGTTCTGTTTTGTTTTGTTTTGTTTTGTTTTGTTTTAGGCTACTGGAAGCCTGCAGCCATGGTTTTTAGTTTCTGTCTCTAGTGATAAATGGAAAAGAGGATGAGGAAGGAGCTTTACTGGCCTAATCAGAAACAGAAACTAAGAACCCATGACTGTATTCTCTCCCTTGGATGCCCTGATAGGCTCTGTGGCAGATAATAGGGATATAACTCCTCAGTGTGTACAAGCTAATTCCTCAGAGAGTCAGAGAGGACTTCCTTGGGTACCGTCTAGGTAATCAGATCCTAATCAGTCTCTATCACCTTATTCTTTTATTTTCATCATAGCACTTATGGCTACCTGATATTTTTTATTTGTTTATTAGTCACTTGTCTTGTAGTAGAATATAGACTTGACAACAAAGAACTCATCTGCCTTGTTCACTGTGTATCACTAGCAGATATAACAGTGCACGATATTTGGTGGGTACTCAATAAATTTTGATGAAATTAATGGACAAATTACTGGCTAAGTAATTAATGGGCCTTAATTTTATCCTGTATCAGCCCATGTCCAGTGAGGCCAAGTCCTGACAACCCTTACTTTATGATATTTATTTATTTATCTATGCCTCATCATTTCTACAGTTGGATTCTTTGCTGCCTCCTTAAGAATGTTTTCTCCATCTGCATAGCCAGAGTATGGAGGGAGACAGAGAAGTAGTTAAATGCTTCTCAGATTGGCTACATTTGTCATTTGCTGTTTGACTGGTAAATTGCTTGGTAAGTCTGTGCCTTGGTTTCCTCATCTTTAAACTGGGGACAGGATAATGATGGTACCCAGCTGTACACAGTTGTGAGGAAATGGTGAGTTAATTGCTAAGAAACATTTGTACCAGAGCCTGGAAAGCACTGGTAAGTGTTAGTTTTCCTAAAACACTGTTATTTTATCACTCCCTCACTCATCACACCCTGCAACCCTGCATGCAAAAACTTTCAAGACTTCCCAATGCCCCCAAAATTGAGGCTTCAATCTGTCTTTCAAGGCTTTCCTCAACACAGTCCCTATATAACTTTCTTTATGTTACTTTTCTTCATTCCATCATATGAACACTTCCACTCAGTGCAGTCCATGCACACACATTTTATTTAAGTTAACATTAATTAAATACGTGTCTTAGAGCCAGGCATTGTTGTTGGATACACACAAAAATGAAAGATGCCCCCTTTGTTCTCAAACTCCACAGTTTCCTAAAGCACCTATATCAGTCAGGATTCGCCAGGCACAAGAAAAAGAAACTGACTCTCAGAAACCTAATAGGAAAAAAATGTATCAAAATGTATCAGAATTGAAGGAAAAGCTGGAGCAAAAAAACAAACAAAAAAACCATGACAGACTCAGAAAGGGTAACAACCAAAGTAAAACCTAAGTTACAGGAACTAAAAAATAGTATCATCAGGGTCCTAACACCAGGAAGAGTGAGTGTAAACAACTTTTTGGCCTTGTGTCACTCTTTGTCTCAAGAGCCAAATCCCAGGGAAATAACATTTAATTAACCTGGATCAGGCTGCATGCCCACTCTTTGGTTATGGTAGGGCACAGTAATCCCTAGTCTTACCAAAATGGTATCTGGAGGAAGAACTGTGCCTCTTTTCCAGGCACAGTTTGAACCTTAATGCCTCTCTAAAGTCTTCACAATCTGCCAGATTTCAATCATCACTGTCTTCTGGAAACTTTTATGGAAGTTATTAATTTGCACTGACATTCAGCACTTGGCATTACTTTCTTGCATTGTAATTTTTATATTTTATGTAAACATTATAAATCCTAAAAAACAAACAAACAAAAACAAAACAAAGAGAGAGACAGAGATTCAGTTGCTCCTTGTGGAGCAGCATTTTTTTTTTTTCCTGAGATGGAGTCTAACTCTGTCACTAGGCTGGAATGCAGTGGCGGGATCTCAGCTCACTGCAACCTCCGCCTTCTGTGTTTAAGTGATTCTCCTGCCTCAGCCTCCCAAGTAGCTAGGATTACAGGTGCCTGCCACCACGCGCAGCTAAATTTTGTATCTTTAGTAGAGACGGGGTTTCACTGTGTTGGCCAGGCTGGTCTCAAACTCCTGACCTTGTGATCTGCCCACCTCAGCCTCCCAAAGTGCTGGGATTACAAGTGTGAGCCGCCATGTGGCCAGCCAAACAGCATTATTATACCTTCGGAACTTTTCTTTGTGTATCCCAAGAGTAAAATGGAAAAACTTCCATGAATGCTGTCCATGCTGGTTATCTGAGGGGAAATAGGCACATCTCCCTGAACAGATCTTTTATTTCTGCTGTTTTCTTCAAGAGCACCCCCTTTTCTCCCATCCTCCCAGTAGCACCAGGGATTAGATTAAGGCAGAGAGGCTGGGGTATCGCTTAGTATCTATGAATCCTGGGTTGCATCCTCTAAGGCTTGCAAACTAACACCTTAGGAAGTAGTGATGTTCTGCAATAATCAGGTATAAAACAGGTTTACAACATATTTTCACCTTTATTAACTCATTTAACCATGTCATTTTACCAAAATATCCTATCTGGCACACACAGAGGGGCTCAGAGGCTCTGGCCAGCCCTGGGTTCACAAAGCCAAGATTGGTTATTAGAGAAGCAAAGCAATGACCCAGATTTGAGATACCCCCATTATCACCTTCCAAGCTACTATACAATTAGCTTAGTTATCATCTTTGCTTTTTATTTTCTGTTACTCCACTAGAATATAAGCTTCTCAAGATCAGAGATCTTTATGCTTTCTTGTCTGATGTATCCCAAATTTCTAGTTGAGTTTAGCAGAATACTTAAAAGAACCAGTCAGACTTGCATTATAACCCCAGCTCCACCACCTGCAAACTGTGACCTAAAGCAAGTTACATACTTACTTTGGGCCTCAGTTTCTCATTTCCTAAATGAAAATAAAATAGTGCTCATCTCCTAGATTTGTTAGGATTAAATGAGAAAATGTATGCAAAACACTTAGTATAGTGCCTGGCCCATAGACAGTGACTGATATATATTACTATGATAGTATTTATATTTTTATTGGGGACCTACTGCTATGATCTAAATGTGTTCCCCAAAATTCATGTGTTAGAAACTCAATCCTCAAAACAACAGTCTAAGGAGGTTAGGTCTCTGGGAGGTGTTTAGGTCATGAGGGCCCTACCCTTATGAATGGATTAATGCTACTATAATAAGAGCTTGCAATAGCAGGTTCACTCTATCTTGCCCTTCTGCCTTTTACTATATAAGGATGAAGCAATAATGCCTAGATGCTGACATCTTAATGTTGGACTTCCCAGACCTCAGAACTGTGGAAAACAAATTTCCGTTATTATAAAGTACCCAGTCTGTGTTACTCTGTTATAGCAAGACAAATGTACTAAGACCTGTATTATAAAGGGTGTTGAGAATCCTTATAGCAATAAGATGTGATTTTATAATAGCTTTCAAGTATCTAGCAGTCTAGACCTCAAACAGATAAACTAAAAACAAGATATGATAGGATATAATGTAATATGAAATGATATAAGGGTGAAGCAAAAATTCAGCACAGGGAAAACAACACTATTATGCCCTGACTGGTTCAGAATGGCTTCCTGGCAGAGATAACTCTGGAGACATATCCACAGAACTATTTAGGAGTTTTTAGGCAAAGAAATATGAACAAGTCATTGTCATCAAAGATAATAGAATTAATGAAGTGCAGGATGATTATAAGCAGTTTAGAGCAAATTTTTCAAAGTAGGGAATGTGAGAGATAGGATTGAAGAGGTAGGAACTACATAATTCAGAACTTCGTACAAGAAATTTGAAAACTTGAACTTTCTTCTTTTGACAATATGGAATAATAGGATGGTTTAAAATAGAAAACAGCATAATGAGATATTCACTGGCTAAGTCACTGGTAACTGAATGGAAGATGAATTTGAGGGGACAAGATCAGGTAACAGATTTCGATTAAAGAGTTACTATAAAAGTCAAGGTAGAAGACAACGGGGCAAAAATCAGACAGGGTAGAGGAGAGAGGCGGTTAAAGAAAAAAATTAAATCCCTAGGACTGGCCTCCTGCCCTATTTTGTAAGGTTTTTAAACATACTTAAATTAACAAGCATTTGTTGGTATCCAACAGCATGCCAGACTCACTGGCATTTAGGATGTTGCTTATGGCATATCCTTTTAAGTTATAATTGACCAAACTCTGAAAATTGTCATATTTTTTATTGAAGCCCTTTCACTTTTCCTTTCCATTAGCTTTCACATCTTAGTTTTATAATCCTTATCCCTAGGAAACTAAAACCTTGCTCTAGATCTGATTGCACAGTGAGATTTCAGGATAAATCTATTTTCAGGATAAACCCATTAGTGTCACATAAATCTCAAATATAAATTTCAAATCGATACAATACACATGAAAATCAGTGTAACTTTGCAGGATCTGTGTCCTATTCTTATTCATTTTCCTACTGTACATATGACAGAAAGGAAGAACTCATTATACATTTGTTGAATAAGTGAAAATATTGTCTTACTCCAGAATAAGGTCTAGATCTGGTGGATTATAGTTTCTAAAATGATATTGAACTAGTAGGGCAAAAAATCTGCCTCAATTTCCCCCTTTCTTATAACCAGAATTCCTTCTAATTCTTCATCACTTCTTCCAATGGCAACTATGTATCTTCTTTGGCAATACCTATCATGAAACTAAATACCATGACAACTGGATTCACAGACAGAATTTGGTCTCTATCTAATTCCTCTAAATCATAAGGCACATAGATAATACTATATTTTATTTTGGCAGTGTGTGTGTGCACTGTGTAACTTCAAAAGCATCAGAAAGAAGATATCCACAGGAATCCTGTAGAAGGGGAAAAAGAGATATTTTCCTTGTGTAGAGAAAATAAGTATTAGAATATAGTTACTTAACAGATCTAACAACAAAATGTTTCTGAGTAATTTTTATTCATCTTGAACTACATACAGACTCTTAGTTCCTCCAAGCCATCAACAGCTAAGACCTGAAGTAGGATCTGGGCCCCTTCATAGGTTCCAGTTTTCGATCTTGGGAAACTACCATATAAACCTTATCCTGAAAAGCAAAAGAAAAAATGTAAATAAACTGTTTTAGATTTCTGCTATATACCTCTCTATAGATTAGATACTTTTATGAATTTACACTAACTTGTGATCCTTATGTGAGCAGCCATCTTGAATATGCTGCTCAAGATTATATCAGAGCTTAGTAGTGTCAAACATACAGTATGTGTTCAATAATAATAACAGTAACTAAGATTGGCTGGGTACTGTTTACATGCCATGCACTGCTCCAAGCACCTTTCGTATACTAATTCATTTTATTCTCATTCTGATACTATACTCTCCATTTTATAGTAAAGAAAACTAAACCTAAGATTCAAGAATAAAGTAACTTGCCCAAGGTCACACAGGTAGCAGGGCTAAGATGCAAATCTGAGCAGTCCAACTTTATAGCCTATCCTTAATCACTGTATTAGACTTGAATGAATAGGTTAATGCTGTGCCCTTTAGGAGCTAGTAACTTTTTATAATGGGATGGTTCTGAGGTTGATGCAAATGTACCTTTTCCGAAGACATAGTACTTACCTTCTGTTACCCGGATAAAGCAGTAAGTTTTTCTTCTTGCTTCATAAATTTCAGGTAAAGCCTTTTTCCCCCATACTTCACCTCTTGTTCTTCACAGCTCAGTACTAATCATCAGCCCATAATGCGGTGTAGAATTGCCAACACCATCCCGATGATGTAGTTATTTCCAATTGGCACTTGGGAGCAGTGAGGATAGGAGGCATTACTCATAGCCAAGAGTACAGATGTTTCTAATTGCTTTCCATTACCAAGAATAACAGCTGTTTACATCTATCAGCAAATAATTCACAAGAGCTCCAGACTATTAAGATAACACACCCCACCTGGTCACCATCACAAGTTGTCAAGGCCAAGATAGAGGCTGCCAGAATTCCCTTCTGCATCTCTGTTCATCAACTGACAGCATGTGTCACCTTCAGATATCCTTATGCTTCCCCACAAGCTCTGGCTTCTTGGTGGCCTGACACATCAAATGGACATATGGATTCTTCATGGCTTTGCAGTAAATGTTTTATGGCTATCTTGCAGCCAAGGGCAGCTGACATAGAGAGGCAAGGGACTTGCAAATAGCCTGATGAAAGAATTTCTGCACTTTTTTCACAGAAGAAGAGTACATGTTCTGCTTAGAGGAGTTTCACGGCTGCAATATGCTTAATTTCTTTAATGCATCCACAAATTGCGTTAGATGATAGATTGGAGTTCAGTAGCATCCCAGGGACCTGGTCACATGCCTAAGATACAATGTTCCCAGTTCAGTAAACTTTATCACATAGTTTTACTGACCACAAAAGAAGACAAATATTAAAACACATTATAGATATTAGGGTTAAAAAGACCAGTAGTACCTCCTCGCTGACACATTGACTCATACTGCATATTTTTCTTACACACTGGTTTAAAGTCATTTAAGCATATGGTCTGTGCTATTTTTTTCTATGGAGACAACTTCAGAGTCTAATCCAACTCTCTGTGTTTCTGCTGCACCTGAATTTATGTCTGAAATTGGCTTTCTATACATTCAGACACAGTTTTTAGTCCATGAATTTTAACCTATTACAAATAATGGAGCATCATCTCTTCAAAACTACACAAATGTTTACAATGCCATGTTAACTAAGAGATTTCCTCATGGCTTGTTGTTGCTTATCTCCAAGCTGCCCCCCATCAATTCCTGCCTTCTATATTGTATTTGTATGTCACTCCCCTATCAAAAGGTGGAATCTATACAGTCCTTTGAATTTCGGCTGGCCTCTCATTGCTTGAAACAACAAGATATGCCACAAATGCTGCTTTGCCAGTTCTGGGCCTAATTCCTAAGAAGACTGGCAGTTCCTGTTTTTCCTCTTTTGGAACTTTCTCTTTGAGGGAAGCCAAATGCCAAGTAAGAGCCCTTACTACCCTGAGGCCTCCAGGCTGTCAGGAAGCCCAGAGTAGCCTGACAGAAGAACTGTGTGGAGAAACAATGATAATGGCGGCCCCTCTCAACTGTTCCAGCCACTCTAGAATGCCACCCGTTCCAACCATCTCTAGCAATTCACCTTGTCCCAGTTGAGGCTCTAGATATCATGCAGTACAGACAGGTTGTCCCTAAATTATTGACCCACGTAATGTGAGCATCAGAAAAAAATGTTCAATTTAGGCAACAACTGGCAACTGGAACATAGCCCCCACCTCACTTTCCAGGAACATCTGTTAATTTCTTAGCATTACTCTATGATACTGATGACATAACTCCTGAGATAAAAACCTTCTTATTAAATCATAATTCCTACACTAAATATCATTGTAGTTTCTAATCAAAAGAAACAAAAAAAAAGTTAAGTGCTTATAAAGCGACTTACTTTTTTTTCCCCCTCTATATCTGTGTCTCATTCCATTGTCAATGAAGAGTTTACTATATAGTTTTGCTCATAAAACAAGCTATTATATATTTAGACCTCTGCTTCTGTACAGGATATCAATTCAAATCACTGTACTTAGTTTTTCTGGTCTAAATATATATCTGATAGTCTGGTTTAAATTAGAATAAAATCCTCACTTCCTTCCAGGAAATTTGGTTCTTTTAATAGAACTCCAACAAGTTTGGAAAACTACAAATTCTCTTTTCATAACATCAAATATGAATCTGTAGATGCTATTGGGAAAAGTACTAGTTTTAAAATCTAAAGAAGTCATTGTATTACTTACAAATATGTTTCTTTTATCTTCTTTCATTAACAGAGTGGAAAGTTCAAAATCTGTGGAGCCTTATTTGTGTATATAGCACACTATATATGTATATATACACATACATTTAATATATATGTGTGTTGTGTGTGTATATCTTTTATATATATGCATTTGTATATGTTTGTAGGAAGAGTTATAATATATATTAACAAATTCATGGCATTCACTTAGTCACTTTACATCTGTTTAATGGTCATGAGGAGACTACTGCATTACAGAGTCTCTGGATTCTAGCTCACCATGCCAACCTCTCTACCCCTACCTAGTTCTCAGAAGACTGGCATGATAACATGAGTTCCCTTTCACTTCTCTTATTCTAACATACTCTTACTCTATTTTCTTATCTCATTGCTTATACATTAGCCAAATGAATTTACACAGCTTAATTTCTATTGTAGAATATTTTAGTAAAAAATGTAACATTTCAACATTACTTAAACATTGTTTTCTTAATTTCATCTAATTTTTTAGAAAAATTAGGAAAGAGCTAGCTACTTTCTTCTTAATAACTTTAGACTGCTAAAGTACCAATATTAGCTCACTCTTAAAGTTGAAAAGAATTATTTCCCCTAATTAAATTCAGTTATTTATCAATGGCACAAATTTTCTTAAACTATCAAGAAACTGCACCATTTATTGTTCAGAAGAAAACACATTTTTATGTTCTCCTTTATCAAAAAAAATGCATAGTGTCCTTAAAAACTCCTGAATATAGTTCAGTTTACAGGAAGAAAGGATTCCTTATGCAGTTATTTGACCCACATTGAGAGTCTTCAAAGTAAAGATGTCTAAGACACATAGTCACTTCTTTTGGAGTCAGTATTTCTTTTGAAATCACTTGTACTCCAATAAAACACAGACCCTTTACTCAACAACTGCCCAGTCTGAGTACAGTAAAGAACTCTTCTCCAGGATAACTTTGGACAGGGTGATGAAGCAGAGAAAGATCTGGCCGTTAGACTTCTTGAGAAATCGTCATTCACCTCTTGTAACTTTACCCTCAATCTTTCATTCATACTAAAGTGATCTTTAAAAGATCTAATGGAATCAGAGTTCCAATTTTTGATAGGAACTTTACAATTGTAAACTTTGATTGTGATATTGACTATTGATTATGCTATTTTCTACTGCAAAATGAAGATGGTGGTTTCTTCTAGTTTTAAGCAAATACCTATTTGGAGGCAAAGGATTAAACTATTTGAAAGCTGAAGTTTTCCCAGGTGCAAGCTTCTTTATGATAAAATCTCATAACTGCAAATACAAGTCCCCTAGATTGTACTCTGACACAACAGCAACCCTGAGTTTGTATCATATTTTTTAAACTTTTTATTTTGAAATAATTACAGATTCACAGGAAGTTTCAAAACACTAAAGAGAATCCTTTGATCCTTTCATTCAGATTCACCAATGCTCCATATATTTGAAATTTCCCTTTTTCATTGTCCATATTAAAATACCAGAAGATAAGTATAATCTTAATAAACATGACAAAGTTGCTCTCACATTTGTCTTCAAGAGCAGCAGGAAGACGGATAGTTATTAATTAGATTGCAAGTAGGATGATGCTAATATAGTACTGGTGAACATACTTGTTTCCAGGCTGGCATGATATGGCATGCAAGTTGGCATGCAGTGTTATATGAACATATGGCAGGCAGAAGCTGCTGTTTCCTCCTAGGAAACAGCAAAGCAAACGTCAGCTCCCTCAGTACTGAAGACACACACCCTAAAACTCTGCAGTGCTGTTGAGGGCTTGGTGCACATGCCATTTCCCTGTCATCAGGATGGGAAATAAACTCTACATGTGGTGTCACGCCAACAACTATAGGAACTGAAAGTCTGTTTCCCCAAGAAGAGGAGGACACAACCAGAAGTTCTCACTGAAGCTGCTGTGTCAGGGTACAATCTAGGGGACTTGTATTTGTAGTTATGAGATTTCATTGTAAAGAAGCTTCTACCTGGGAAAACTTCAACTTTCAAATAGTTTAATCCTTTGCCTCCAAATAGGTATTTTCTTAAAACTAGAAGAAACTGCCACCTTCATTTTGCAGTAGAGAAAACAGAAACATTCTGTGACCTCTCCAAATGCTCAGAGTCCAAATCTGGTTAAATATTCAAGGCTTTCCACTTTTTTAGAATTCTACAGCTAAAGCAATTCACCCTTCATTACTAAGCCTCTCCCCAATGTAATAATCTTCACTCTCTGAACATTTATCCAACTTGCACCTAAATCTCTACCACTGAAATCCATTTTCTTCATTCTATTTTCCATGCCAGAAAAGCATATTTAATATGTAATAAACTCACATCTTATTGAAGATTATTACTAATTTTTTCTCAGCTTTCCCTTCATCAGACTATATAAATGAATTTTCTTCCAGAAGAAGGTTATGAAACCGGTCTATGTTCTTGATTATGCATATTTATATCTACTCAAAGGATTCCTATTAGCTTAAAAATATAAGCTTGATACAATGAGAGTAAATTATCAGCATTCTATGAAGTATACTATACAAAGATAATTTAGCTAAACATGCTTTTTGTCTTTCACTGTACTTTTTAAACAAATAATTTAAAATATATGATTTGGTGGAACATGTTATTAGAAAAGAACTTACTGGTTTAATGGAAAAAAGTCTTCATTGAAAGAGTGAAGCCCTAATTACATTCACCAAATGTCCCTTTTCCTTCCTCCTGATCTCTGCTTTCTACTCCCAAATAGAGTGGTGACTCAAAAAAGCTAATAGACAACAGTAAGGGATGAATCTTCTGTGAATCACTTATCCTCAAAATGGAAAGTCCTTATCCCAGGTGTTTGGAAGAGTTCTTCAGATGCCTTCAACTGAAAGAAGACATTTTATAAAATTATTCTTTCCATGTGCCAAAGGATTCTTCCGTGTTGGAAGTAGGAAACTGTCAGCTTCTGTAAGAGCTTTGTTTCTGCCTGCCTCTGTTAGCCAGTTGCAGGGACCAGCATGCCAAACTATGAGAGAGCAGGGGACCTGGGGTGCCTGAACTAGCAATTCCATCATGCTGAGGGTTAAAACTTGAGCAATCACTAAGACTAAAATGCTAGGTTTCTATTGTTTCTCTTCAGACACTCCTGAGTATTTGATTTTTATTCATATGGTTGTTACTGCTGTTGGATGTTTCTATGTGATTTGTTGTTTTTCCAGAGAGGGAGAGTTCCCACCAGGTTGCCTGCCAGGCAGAGCAGAATGCCATTAGTAAGAGATCTGTGGCCACTGCTCTGTTTAGTGAGCTGCCTCCATCAAGGGAGATTTATCTATGCAAGTGCTGATCATAATGGATTCCTTCACTAAATGATTTTGGATGAGCACGGCTTTGGCAGAGGTTCTGCAAGTCCCACATTCTGTTATAAAACTGAATGCCCATGTAATGGACGCTAAGGAGAAGTAAAGATGTGAGGGCAGGTGGGTGGGGGAGAGTTATATGTAAAGTGGCATAGACAGCCACCCTGGAGATGGGGAGTAGAGGAATGTGAGCTTGATACTGAGTTTTCCTAACTGGCAAAAGGACCAAGTATGGACCCAACTTATTCAAAGCAACAAAGAAAATTTTTACAAGGATATCAGTCATAATTCTAAAAGGGAGAAATAAACAATAAAGAACATATTTTAATAAGTGGGTGTAAAGTGCTCTAAAGAAAAATATAGCTGAGGCAGGAGGATTGCTTGAGCCAGGAGTTTGAGACCAGCCTGGGCAGCAAAGCAAGACCCTCATCTCTACAAAACATTTAAACCACCAAAGAACAAGGCAAATACAGCAGAATCTGTGGATAAGAGAGTGAGACAAGGCAGATCAATGTTATTTTGTAAAACTTGGTCATAAAATCCCTCTCTGATTAATTGAAATGAGTTAAGGAGTAAGGGTGTAATCCATGCATTTAACTGGAGAAAGAATGTCACAAAGAAGAAAGAGTAAATACAAAGACCCTGAGGCAATGGCTGCTGAGCAGGAGAGCTTATGTGCTCAAAGAATGGCAAGATGCCCCTGTGGGTATAAGCCATATATATATATATGTCCTACACGAATGGGTTCCTGATTCTATATGTCATTCACATCCTGTACTTCCTTCAAGACTGTTAAAATTATGTTTTAATTTTATGAACTTTCATTGAATATCTATTATGCACCAGTCACTGTACAAAAGGAATAAAAATAACATGATTTTTCTTGCTTTCTTTTTGATCGAGACAATCATTGTTCTCTCTCTTATCTAAATTCTTCTCCTATTCATAGTTTTTAACACACATCTATGTATTTTGAGTATTTATGCCCTAGGTATTCTCTGGCCAATTTATTTATTCAAATCGTGCCATCCCTTTTGTATGTAACTTTCTTAAAGGTGGGAACAGTTTCTTATTTCTTTCACATCACTAGTACGGAGATAGATATATAATAGTCATTTAATAAATACTTGGTGACTCTGTAACCTCATTAGGATTGAAAACTGCATTTCCTTGGAATAGTAGGGCTCACAAAAAATCCTCACATCCGTTAGAACACATTTACTATACAAACTTGGGTGTGATTGGCTTCTATCAACAAAACCTCAGCTAACAATGAATTAAACAAATAGGTTTTTTGAAAAAAATTATAAAAGTCCATAATTAGACAGTACCCATAACTGGTTCAGCCACTCAAGAACACAGATTCTACTACCATTTATCCTTAGGCTTCTGATAGCAAGACTCATCCAAAGAAAGAATACAGGACTAAGAATACTTGCATAAGTTAGATTTCTCCTTGTTGTTGAATAGCAAGATGTTTCTCACAAATTTCCCTTTGTCCCCCTGTATATTACTAAAAAGTACTTAGTTATATGGCCACCCACAAAAACAAGTGAGACTAAAAAAGTGACTAGATTTGTTCAGCCCTCATGAAAGATGTGGCAAAGGCAGAGGGAATTAGGAAGAACAGCTATATTGATCAAATGTTTATTTGTTCACAATATCAGTTTGCCTGTTTCTTCCAAGCTTATTAATTGTTTGCATAGATCTCTAAGTCTAAAACATCACACTATTCTATTCCCCATATCTAGAACTTCTTATGTTTAGCTTGTCTTTGCATGTTTTTCTTTTTGACTTTATTTATTTATTTTTTATTGCATTTTAGGTCTTTGCATGTTTTTCAGCAGAGGTTCTAGTTCTTTCTTGTATCCACTAACATAATTGGAAATTGTATTTTTCATGCTTGATTATATAGTTTTAGGTACAAATTATCATTATAATTATTTAAAGCCTGGACATGAATCCATTGACAACTTTATTCCCATAAATTTTCAGTCCACACCAGTATATTCAAAAGATTTTAGGTTCTACTCAAATATTCAGTTCTCTTTAATGTATTAATAGTCTTTTGAAGATAAAAAAGAGAGTGGGTATCATCAGGAAACACTATATTATAGACAGATACATAGGCTTCTTAACTTTAATATTTTCAGCCATTTTATGTGCTAATATTTAGTCCACTCTTCAAAGGAGTATATAATATGCAGTGTTTTCAACATATTTAATTGCATGGTTTATTTTTTCAGAAAGCATTTTGTAGAACCAATGTTTAAAGAAAAAATTGTATCAGAATGCTGCTCTGGATATTTCTACACACTTAGATGTCATTTCTGTATAAGACCTGAGGAACCAGGTCTTTATTTTAAATGGCACAGAACACAGTTATACTACCTAGGTTAAACTTCATAGTCTCACTGGTTTCAAAAACTCTATGTTCTTCAAAGTTCAGCTTCTGAGTTTATCTATGTATGTGAGTTCAGTTCTAGCCCAGGAAACAGGTACACTATGCTCCTATTCTAACCCTGCCTCTTCTCCCAAATAAGTGTTAAAAATTAATGTGAAAATCATGGTCACCTGAGCTTCTCTATTCCACTGATTCTTAGACCATATTCTTAGACCCTATTCTTTATATAGTTTACTTGGAGAGTAAAGTGACTACAGTATCATACAATTTTCTGAAAATTCACTCTGTTGTCTATTGAAATAGTAGAATCTTAGAAGGGGTTTTAGTCACTTGGTTTCACACTCAGCCAAAACAACACCTGAAGCATACAAAGCAGATGGTCATGTGATCCAATGGTATCAAGACACACCAAAAGTAGAAGTGCCCAAATTTACTAATGTCATCAAGAAGGAGGACTGCATTAAAAATAATAATGCCTAGGCTGTTCCTTGTATAATGACATCTTTGTTAGAGCATCCTCAAATGTCTTGACGGTGCCACTTTATTTTAGTCCTTTCAAAAGACGTTAATTTAAACCATATATCACTGTGCTCACTAATGTAATTGTTAACCTTTCTTTTTTATTTTCACTTCAAGGCCTACTGATATAGTTCTAAAAAATGACATATAGTCCTAAGGCCAAAGGGGATTTACAATTGGTTTTTATAACACTGTAGATGTAATATTATGAAAAGACTACCAAAGTAATGTAAATGTGAAAATAATTTGCTGGGTTTTTGTTGTTGTTGTTGTTGTTGTTGTTGGTTTTTTTTTGGTGGTGGTGGTTGTTGTTGTTGTTTTGAGACAGAGTCTCACTCTGTTGCCTAGGCTGGAGTTCCGTGGTGTGATCTTAGCTCACTGCAGCCTCTGCCTCCCAGGTTCAAGCGATTCTCCTGCTTCAGCCTCCTGAGTAGTTGGGATGACAGGTACACACCACCATGCCCAGCTAATTTTTGTATTTTTAGTAGAAACGAGGTTTTACCATGTTGGTCAGGATGCTCTTGAACTCCCGACCTCATGATCCACCTGCCTCAGCCTCCCAAAGTGCTGGGATTACAGGCATGAGCCACCGCGCCTGGCTGATTTGCTGGTTTTAAAGGAGTTTTCTAAAACAGTGCATCTTTTGTTCTTTCCACCAATGTTTCTAGCCAAGTAAAGACAGTGTTTTTTATAAATGGAGAAATAAACTAAGTTTCTTCATTTGGAGGACTATAAGTGACTCCCCCAAAGTCAAAGAAAGAGTAGGTGCATCATCAGGATTTCAGCTCTGATTTTCTAGATGAAGTTGAGTTTCCCTTTCTTTCTTGTCAAAGTTTATTTCCAGGCCAAGCCTGTGTTCAGGTTAGTTTCAATCAGTGTTTAGCAGAGATGGAAATCAGATGGCTACAATCCTGCACATGCTTTCCTAGCCTAGAGGGTGGAGACTCAAAACAGGGACTTTATATATACTGTACCTAAAATTCAAATCCATCCTACCCTTCCCTACAGAGAGTCCCAAAATGGCCTAGTCAGGTGCCAATCAAATGTTTGTTGTTGGGGTTTGGATTATCTGGAAGCTGATTTAAAACAGAGCATTGCATTTTGGATAGATGGCAGCTGTAGTGGCAGCATAGTTTTTGCATCTTCCAAAATCTTCACATTAAAACAGATGGCAAAACCAAAACCGATGGACATTTATAACAAAACTAAATGACAAAGAATTCCCACTAACCTCAAAATAAAAATGGATGAGGACAAACCACCAACAGTCACATAATTATATATTACTGGTATCACAGAGGAGAAAGCAGAGGAAGTAATAAGATATCTTATGGGGACTTCAGATTAGGATAACCCCCAAATACCAAACAGATTTACTGGAAAGTAGAGTGAGCCAAATCAACACAGAATATAAAACTGTGAAGGTTTTTGCCCAATCCCATAGAGGGTAAAACTAACAAGCCTACAATTAAGCTAAAAGTCTTTCGCACTTTTGACCCTATGAATTCTCAAAAGTAACCCATTAGGGCTTCCTCCAAGACAAGTTCCCATAATGAGAAGAACCTTCTAAGTAAAATAAAGCAGCAGCACAAAGACACCTGAAATGAAGAAATGTGAAGGTTTGAATAAAAGTCAGGGAGAAGAACAAAACCAAGAAATCTCAGAAAGCCATCTGAACCAAGCCTTTTTCTATGACTTCAGGAAAACTAAATATCCCTAAATGTGAGAAAGAGGAAAGTACCAAGTTCTAAATTTATAGAAAGTCAATAAAATATAATATGATGCAAATTAACATGTATGTTTGAAGGATCCTCAAGTTGTCACTTTTCTGGCTGGAAACCTCTGTGGCTGGTAGCATGTTTGCCCAAATTTTGCTTGGGCCTGCTGGGCTTGATCTACCACATGGCCTGGCAGGCTGCACTTAGCTCACACTACCAGTCTGGATCCGATGCCTGCCAAGGGAGAGTCAGGCAGGGACCAGTGAGGGGTAGTGTGAATGAGTGAGCATGGTGTCCGGCCACTGTTCAGTCAGGCACACTGGCAGTGCAGTGGGGTGGGCAGCTTCAGGTGCCAGCATAGGTGCCAGCCCTCTGTGAGGCTGTGGCTGGACCAGGTGCACCACAAGCAGCTTCCACAGCTGCCACCAGGGAATGTGGTGATGCCAAGGAAGCTTGGAGATACCAGGAACTCCAGGGCCCCAAAGAGAGAGTCACAGCCCTGGTTCAGAGAGCTCTCAAATCTGGGACCACCAAAGGGCCACAGCTCTTCTCTCCTTCTCTTTACCCACAATGTGGTGAGCAAGAGGCATGTTTCAGCCATTTATATCACAGCTTCCAGGCCTGCCATTCAGTAGGTTCTGAGTTCTTGTCCATCATACAGGAAGAGTGAGGTACACAGACAAGCAGAGGGTGAGCAAGGTGAAGAGAAGCTTCACTGAGTGACAGAATGGCTCAGTGAAAGCCTTGCAATGGGTACCTCTTCTTTGCAGACAGGTCATCCTATTGTCATTGCAGCTCTCATTAGAGAGGAGACCCTGGAGTAGGTAGTTCCTCTCTGCAGCTGAGCATCCCAATGTCTGCTCTCAGCAGAGAGAAGGTCCTTGAATAACTAGTTCCTCTCTGCAGCTGGTTGTCCAGATGTCTGCTTAGCTCTGGCTGAGCCCAGGGCTTTTATGGGCCTCAGAGTGGAGAAAATACATGCTGATTTGTTCATGGGTACCCAGAAAAGGCACCACAAGTTCCCACTCCTGTCTGTAGGACTGGGAGACTGGCCCCCAGTCTTCAAGCCCTCCATGGCATGAAGGTGGGATCTTACTGCCCTTTTCTGGCCAGGAACCTGTTTACCTCCTGCAAACATTTATGGTGCCCAGGTTATAGGTGCCAAGGGGTGTCTGCAGGCCAGCACCAAGCTGCCCTCAGCTCCCCATGAGCTTCCCTCCTATGCTTGTCAGCACCCAAAGGCCAGAGGGGGCTGAGGCAGCAGGGATTGTCAGGTCAGCACTGCATAGAGCATGTGCACACTCTGCTAGGCTGTGACAGCACCTGGGTTCAGCCCCAACTTTGGTCCAAAATCAAAGTTGGTGCTGACAGCAAAGAGAAGGCAGGCAGCTGGAGCAGGCACTTCTGAGCTTGGGGTCGGGGGGGCCTACCCAGGCCCCCCACAGTGCAGGGATGCCTGTGTCTATAGCCACAGTTTGGGTAGCTGCAGCTGTTCCTGGGGTTGGGGATCCCTCTGTGGAGGAGGAGGCCCCAGTCTGTAGCCACAACTTGAGAGGCTCTAGCTGTGCCCAGGATAGCAGAGCATCTGCCTGCTCCCAGAACCCTGAAGAGCACAGGGAGGCCAGTAAGTAACCCCACTGAGCTCCTGCCCTCCAACTTGGAAGGGGTGGGGCTCCCACTTTTCCCTGGCTCCCATGGGCTCTGTGGCATGTGCAGCCCCAGCCACACCTTTCAGCTGCAGCTGGTGTGATGGCAGTGGCTGCTCCAGATTGGCCACTGCTGCTATCATATGCATTACTCATATGTTAATTTGCTTCATGTTGACTTATAGTGACTCTCATGTACAACTCTTATGTTGCATATGATTAGATATAGGCAAATTTATCTGTCTATTCAAAAAATATGATTAAACTAAAATATCAACAGAGAATATAAAGCAGAATAACATCCTGTAGGTAATAAAATTATGCCACAAAAATATGCTCAAATATAGATTAAAATGGTAGCATACATTCCAAAATGAGTTAAAACGTATTTATAAAATGATACAATATATGACGTAACAGTATAATCCCAAATTAGAAAACTTCAGAAATTAGGTGACAGAACTCAAGAAGAAATTAGAAATTTAAAAAAGCGTTTGAAATAAAGATCAAACACAAAAATGAATGTATACAAAATAGTGGCTTCAGAGAAATATGCAGTAAAAGAAAATTTAGAATCAAAAAGAAATGAAAGAAATGAAAAGGCCCTGAAAGTGGCATTTGTTGAATATCAGCCACCTGCAGATAATAAGTGCCCTAAAGAAGAAAACCAAAGCAACGGAACTAAATACTAAACTAAAAGCAACAATTCAAAAAAATCTCTTGCAGAACAAAATATTTTTAAATTTTTGAAACTACACTTTGAAGCTTCACACTGTAGACCCCAAAATACTGAAACAGAATGACCTACACCAAGATATATCTAGAAAACATGCTTTAGACAACCAAAATAACTAGAGAAACATCAACAAAAAGACTGGTGGTGAGCATTAAATGTGCAGTTAGTGGTATAAATAAGACTGAGAATTTAAGAGCATTTAGTGTAATGGCTATGTGCTCTGTCAATACACATAGAGGACAACTCTAACACATAGGGGAAAAACAGGGCGGGCATATGCAAAACAATACAACAGAATCAAATATTTCATAAAAAATAAAGAAAATATTTTATCAACAATTTTATATCAATTACATGTTGAAATGATAAGATTTTGTGATGTGTTGGGTTAATGAAATATGTATATAATATACTAGAATTAATTTTACAAGTTTCTTTAAACTTTTCTGACATGGCTACAAAAATATTTATAGGTCGGGCATAATGGCTTATGTCTGTAATCCCAGCACTTAGGGAGGCCAAAGCAGCCAGGAGTTTGAGACCAGTCTGGCCAACACGGTGAAACCTGTCTCTACCAAAAAAGAATAATTTGCTGAGTATGGTGGGATGGACCTGTAGTCCCAGCTACTCAGGAGGCTGAGGCACAAGAATCACTTGAATCCAGGAGGCGGAGGTTGCAGTGAGTCAAGATTGCACCACTGCACTCAAGCCTGGGTGATGGAGTGAGATCCTATCCCTATATATATTTACATGTATTTACATATATGATTCACTTTCATTGAGTTAATATGCCACCATTTTGGAACCCTCAAAGACTTAATGGATCTAATCACGGAGTTTCAATAGCTCTTAACATAAAAGACAGTGAATTTTGTGTTTTCTACTTATCTCTGATGAAAGCACTCAACACCATTTATCGTGTTGCCAAAGGGACGCAACCAGTGTCTGATCAAATCTCTAGATACAGAAGCCCATCTGCAGGATAGAGGAACATGTTGAACTGAACTGTAAGTGAAAAAGTACTCAAAGTCATAACTGCAATACTGAGGGCTACAAGAAACATTTCCTGCCTCTCAATTCATTTTTTCTTCATAGAGGAGAAATTACTCTAGTTCTTAAAATATATGAAATAAATAGTATAACTAAAATACATGAAATAATAGTATAACTAAAACCTTAATGAAAGAGAAAAAAATTAAATTGTAAAAATAACTAAAACCTTAATGAAAGAGAAAAAAATTAAATTGTAAAAATATCTCATAATTCCAAAATAAGGCAAGTAAAGGGAACAGGAACAAGGAATACCAGGGACAAATAAAGAACAAATAGTTAACTTTAAAAACCCAACTGAGGTAGGAGGCAGGACTCAACTCTAGAGGTGGGGCTCAGACATGGACCAAATTGAGGACTAGCTAAATTAGGGGAGGTGGAAGCAGCTTTCAATGAGACACAACCATCAGCGTGCCATGTCAACTTACTATCGCCATGGCAACACCAGGGAGTTACCACCCCTTTCCATGGCAATGACCTGAAGTTACTACCCCTTCCCTGGAAATTTCTGCATAAACTATCTTTAAATCTGCATGCAATTAAAAATGGGTATAAATATGACTGCAAAACTGCCCTGAGCTGCTACTCTCTGCCTGTAGGGTAGCCCCGCTCTGCAGGAGCCGTCACACAGCTATAATAATGCCTCTTCAATAAAGCCGTTTTCTTCCACCTCTGACTTGCCCTTGAATTCTTTCCTGAGCAAAGCCAAGAACTGTCACAGGCTAAACTCCACTTTGAGGCTTGTCTGCCCTGCATCACAGCTATGTCACTAATAACATTGAATATAAATGAACTAAACAATGCAAATAAAAGATTAATATTGTTTTTTGGAAAAAAAGACAAATGCAGTTTACAAGAGATGGTCATTTAAGGACTCATTTAGGATAAAAAGCTACAGCATGTAAATACTAACCAAAAGAATACTAGCATTATTGATAGCAATATAGAATACTAATGTTAGTAAAGAACAGTTTGAAAAAGAAATATATAGGACATAAACACCAATAAAAAAAATCCTAGTATTACTGATAGTAATATAGAATATTGATATATCAGTAGAGTTTAAACATTACTAAGACATATGCCCACCAAAGACATGTACAAAAATATTTAGAGCAGTTTTTTCATAATAGCAAAAATTAAAAACAGCGCATGTATTCATCAACAATGGAAAAAGTTGTTATAATGTATGCTCTTCTCACTGCCTCTTCCAATCACCACCACCCCCACTATCTTGACCTCTAATGTGATCACTATCTTGACCTCTAATACTACAGATTAGATTTCCCTGTCTTTGAAATTTATATAAATCAAACCATATAGCATGTGGTATTTTGTATCTTCTTTTTTTCACTCTACATTTTGTTTGGGAGATTCTGGTTGACATTATTGTGTATGATTATAGTTCATTATCATTCTGTATATTACTTCATTACATGGCTATACCACAGTTATTTTCCATGCCACTGTTGGTTGCCTCAGTTTTCTCATATGTAAAATAGTGATAATAATACCAACTTATGAAATTAAATGAACTAATACTTGTAAAGCAATTCTTAAAAGCTCTATGAAAATGTTTGACTAAAACTATATGGAATATATGTCATTTCGAACTATATATTTTCTTTATCTTTTTTTCTTCTAATGAAAAGGACAAATCCTTTTTAAATATTTCTTTAAGTTCCCATCAATCCTATGGTGTTATGTCTCTTATTCACAAATTAATTCACTTAAAAACATTAAACACAATATATTTCAGACCATATGCTATCTCTCAGGGAATCTGGGACACCATGTGGACAAGTATTTACAGTGTAATAATTGCTATTTATACAAAATAGATTAATCCATGGTTTACCTTGTTCTTTAGATATTTTTATTTAAAATTTTCTGTCTTAGTGCCAAGGTAACTTATAACGAGAATTTAATAACTACAAAAACCCTGTATGTTTTCATTGGCCATGAGGATGCAACAGAAAGTAAAGAAATTATTGAAAGCATCCTTTACAGATATGAAAATGTTTTGTTCCTCTTTATAGATTATGACAGGCTGCTAGGGACCCCCTTTGTGATGGACATGAGAGAGATAAACAGAAATGCTTTCTTCTTGAAAGATGTCTGTACAATCTAAAACAATTAATCTTGCTGGAGTGAGTCAGCTCTAATGGTGCTGCCTGGCATAGGCCATTCATCAAAGCCCACCAACCCATCACACAGAACCAGTCACACTGCTTGGCAGGCCTGCCACTCTGCCACATGCCTAGATTCCTGGAAATCTATGTAAGGCAGAGCAAGCCCTGGGAAGTTATTTGTGTTTGTCTTAAAAAAAAAAAAGGGAATCTGAAGCTATTCTTATTTAATGCTACTGATTCTAATGAAGATGTCAATGAAAAACTACCTCCTCTCCTGACACAAAGCTCATCTATTTTGACAAATAAGTCTGGCAATGTGTCCTCCTCTCAAACTCAAAACTCTAGGCATGACAGATCATCCTTGTCAGCATAAGCACATTTTCTAATATCACTCATTAAAAAAAATAAAACTTTCACTAGAGATGACAGCCTCCTACAGCTACTGCCCATTTTTCTGATCCCTATTTTTAAAAATATTTCTTTACTTTTCATTTCTTCTTGAATATCCTCTAGTAGGACTTCTGTTTCTCTGTTGAAATCATTCATGTTGGCTCGCTAATGACACACTTCTCGCCATACTCAATAACTAAACTTTAGTTCTCTCTCTCTCTCTCTCTCTCTCTCTCTCTCTCTCTCTCTCTCTCTCTCTCTCTCTCTCTCGGATACACACACACATCACTTCTTTCACTTCTCTTCAACTGGTTAGGCTCTGATTTCTAAATCTTCTTTGCTAGTTTCTGATCTTTTTAATGGTTGGATGTTGGCATGCTCCAGAACTCAGCCCTCAGCCTCTTGTCTTCTCCATACTTACTCCCTTGGTCATCTCATCTTGTCCAATGGTTTTAAACAGCAGTATTGTGCAACCAATTCCACAATTTGATAAATGTAGCCTGGACCTCTCCCAGACTCCACATTTTTATATTCAGCTGCCTATTTGATGACTCTACTTAAATATCTAAGAGGCATCTGAGCATAATACATCCAAATTAGAACTCTTGGTTTCCCCTTAAAACATGATTATCTCCTAGTCTTTATAATCTTGGCAAATGTTACATATCCTGACACAAATGTCTAAAACCTTGTAGTCACGTTTCAACCTCTTATCCTCACTACACTTCCTATAAAATCAACCAAAAGTCTTGTTGACTTAAATTTCAAAATACATTCCATGTTCGATACTTCTCACCACTTCTACTACTTCTCTGATCCCAGCTGTTATCACCTCTCACTTTGACAATTCAAAACACCCCTAACTGGTCTCCCTCCACCTTTCTTCAGTGGATTCTTTATTGATATATACTTCTTTGAAAATAAATATCAAGCTTTTTTTTTTTTTTGCTTGAACATTTTAATGGTTCCCTATGGCATGAGAATCAGTTTCAAACTCTTCACCGGGGCCCTCAAGGAGCTGTGTGATATATGCATCTCTTGAACACGATCTCTTTTCACTTCTCTCACTCCTCTTCAGTGCCACTAGCCTCCTGGCTAATGCTGAAATGTTTTTCTGCCCTCCAACTTTGTTCTTACTAAATTTTCGTTGGACATACTTCCCTGAGAGCTGGAACATGGATTCCTTCTCACTTTAATGATCTGATCAAATTTCACTTTTTACAGAAGACTTCCCTGATTGATCACATTCCTTTCTCCTATGATTCTCTATGACATTACCATGTTTTTTTTTTCTTGAAAGCATTTGCCTGCAATTTATATTACATTTTATATTTATTTTATTGTTTGTTATCCATCAACCCCAATAAAATGTATGTTCCATGAGGATAGGAGATCGACCTCTTTTATCACCTTTGTTTCACCTGTTTTCAGAAGAGTGCCTGGTGCATGTTAGGTACTCAATAATTAATGTTGAATAAGTGGAGTTTAAAAAAAAGATTTAGTTGTACAAATGTAATTTTGTTACATGGATATATTGCACAATGGTGAAGTCTGGACTTTTAGGGTGCCCATCACTCAAATAGTGTTCATTGTACCCAGTAGGTAATTTCTCATCACTCATTCCCCCTCCCCCATCCCACCTTTTAGAGTCTCTAATGTCTATTATTGTACTCTATCAGTTCATCTAACCCATTGTTTAGCTTCCAGTTATAAGTGAGAACATGTAACATTTGACTTCATGAGTTATTTCACTTACAATAATGGTCCCAAGTTCCATCTAAGTTTTTGCAAATCATATCATTTTCTTCTCTTTTTATGGCTGAGTAGTATTCCATGAGGTATACATTTATCACATTTTCTTTATCCAGTCATCTATTGATGGACACTTAGGTTGATTCCATGACTTTGCTATTGTGAATAGTGCTATGATAAACATACAAGTGCAGCTGTCTTTCTGAATGAGTGGACATTCATTTTAGAATGAAAGCATAGTGATAGACAATCTAATAAGGTTTATCTTTTTTTGAAAGAGGCAAAATCAGCTTTATTCATATTTTTTAATCAGGTGGTTAAGGAAAAATAAAATGTGTAGCATATTACATAGATTATTATAAGGGGTAAGACAAGTATGTGCAGCACAACTGACCAGGTCATTTTTTCTTTTTCGAGACAAAGCTAACAAAAGATGTTTTTTTTAGTTCACTTTTATTTTTGGTTCAGGGGTACAAGGGCAAGTTTGTTATACAGGTAAATCACCTGTTATGGGGGTTTGGTATACAGATTATTTCATCACCCAGGTAATCAGCATAGTTCCCAACAGGAAGTTTTGTAAGCTTTGTCCTCCTCTCAACCTCCACTCTCAAGTAGGCTCCAGTGTCTGTTCCCTTCTTTGTATCAGTATGTACTCAATGGGTAGCCTCCACTTATAAGTGAGAATATGAGATATTTGGTTTTCTGTTCCTGTGTTAGTTTTCTTAGGCTAATGGCCCCAACTTTATCCCTGCTGCTGTAAAGAACATGATCTCGCTCATTTTTATGTCCGTATTTCATGGTGTATATGTACAACGTTTTCTTCATACAGTCTACCATTGATGGGCATCTATGTTGATTCCATGTGTTTCCTATTGTTAATAGTGCTGCAACGAATATAATGGTGCATGGTAAAATGATTCATTTTCCTTTGGGTATATACTCCATAATGGAATTGCTGAGTCAAATGGAAACTGTTTTCAGTTCTTTGAGAAATTGCCAAACCGCTTTCTACAATGGCTGAGCCATTAATAATTTACATTTCCACCAGCAGTGTATAAGTGTTTCTTTTTCTCTGCAAACTCACTAGCATCTATTATTTTTTTCCCTTTTTAATAACAGCCACTCTGACTAGTGTGAGATAGTATGTCATTGTGGTTTTGATTTGCATTTCTCTAATGATTAGTGATGTTTTTTCATATGCTTCTAGGGCCCATACAGCTATTCTTTTGAAAACTAGCTTTTCAAGTCCTTTGCTCACTTTTTAATGGTGGTGTTTTTCACCTGTAAATTTGTTTAAGTTTCTTATAAATGCTGAATATCAGACCTTTGTTAGCTGCATAGTTTGCAAATATTTTCTCCTATTCTTTAGGCTGCCTGTTTGTTGATAGTTTCCTGGCTGTGCAGAAACTCTTTACTTTAATCAGATACCATATATCAATTTTTGTTCTTGTTATAATTGCTTTTGGTGTCTTCATCATGAAGTCTTTGCCAGGTCCTATATCCAGAATGGCATATCCTAGGTTATCTTCCAGAGTTTTTATACTTTTAGGTTTTACATTTGGGTCTCAATCCATCTTGAGTTGATGTTTCATATATTATAAGGAAGAGGTCTAGTTTCCATCTCCGAGTTTCCAGGGAACTCAACCATCTCAGGCAGTCTCCAGTCTGCTGCTGCTGGCCAGCTGGAATTCCAAGCCAATAGGTCTTAACTTGTGAGGTGCCATGGGAGTGGGGCCTGCTGAATGTAGCCTCTTAGCTCCCTGGCTTCAGCCCTCTTCCTATGGGAATGGACAGATCTCCTGGCTCATCAGAATTACTGGGACTAGAATTTGCAAAAACTCCTGCATTTCCATGCCTGCCCAACTGGGCACTGAGAATCTACACAGCTCTCTGCCTCAGCCCAAGGCCCTGGTGGCATGGGCTCATGAGGGGCAGGTTGCAAAGATTTGTGGCAGAAGTGCGGTCTTCTGGGTGAGGTCACACAATCACTCACCAACTCTCTTGGCTGGGGGTGAGAATTCCCTTTGCTCTGTGCTGCCCCTGGGTGGGCCATCACCACCCCCTATTTTCCTCACTCTTCCCTGACACGCTGACCACCAAGTCAGTCCCAATGCAAGAACCTGAAAACCTAGGTTAAAGGTGTAGAATTCATTCATGATTTTGTTCTTCTCTGTGAGAGCTGCAGACTGTAGCTGCTTCTAATAGGCCATCTTGGCCCACCTAATATTTTTTCTTTCAACTTTGAAAAATCTGATGAATATGTGTCTCAGGGAAGGTATTTTTGTGTAGTATTTTGCAGGGGTTCTATGCATTTTCTGAATTTGAATGTTGGTCTTTCTAGAAAGGTTTGGGGAATTTTCATGGACAATATCCTGAAATATGTTTTCCAAGTTGTTTGCTTTCTCTTTATTTTTTATTTTTATTTTTTTGAGATGAAGTCTCACTCTTGTGGCCCAGGCTGCAGTGCAATGGTGTGATCTCAGCTCACCACAACCTCTGCCTCCCAGGTTCAAGCGACTCTTCTGCCTCAGCCTCCCAAGTAGCTAGGATTATAGCCATGTGCCACCACACCCGGCTAATTTTGTATTTATAGTAGAGATAGGGTTTCTCCATGTTGGTCAGGCTAGTCTTGAACTCCCTACCTCCGGTGATCACCCACCTCAGCCTCCCAAAGGGCTGGGATTACAGGTATGAGCCACCATACCCAGCTGCTTTTTCTTTCAGGGACACCAATGCGTCATCTATTTGGTCTTTTTACATAATCCCTTACTTCTTAGAGGTTTTGTCCATTCTTCTTTGCTGTTCTTTCTTTATATTTGTCTGACTGTGTTATTTCAGAGAGCCAGTCTTTGAGCTCTGAGATTCTTTCCTTAGCTCTGAAATTATTTCCCTAGCAATTCTGCTGTTAATACTAGCAACTGTATTCTGAAACTGTCAGTTTTTTAAATCTATCAGATGAGTTTGGTTCTTTCTTATAATGGTCATTTCATTCATCAGCTCATTATATTTTTTATCCTAATCCTTAGATCCTTGGATTGGGTTTCAACTTCCTCATAAATGTCAATCATCTTCATTCAGTTTCCATATTCTGAATTCAGTTTCTGTCATTTCAGCCATTTCAGCTTGGCTAAGAACCATAGCTGGGGAAGTAGTATGGTCATTTGCAGGTAAAAAAGACACTCTGACTTTTTGAGTTGCCAGAGTTCTTGTACTGGTTCTCTCCCATCTGTGTGAGTTAATGTTCCTTCAGTCTTTGCAGCTGCTGTCCTTTGGACGGGTTCTTTCTTTTCTCCTCTTTGCCATCCTTGTGGTGATGTCCTTATTGTGGTATAAGGCAGGTTCAGTTGACTAGCTCCTTACTGGAAGATTTTAGGGGGGCAGGGCTCAGCTCAGGACTCCCAGGCTATGTGCTCTAACTCTTAGGAGCTGGCATTGGGCTCCCACCTTTGTTCTTTGGCCCCTCACAGTTAGGAACCTGCTGCACTGGGGGCTCAGGTGCTCCCAGACTGCTCATCACAACATTCCAATGGGTGGTGCCAGCCAAAGAGCTTTTTAGGCGGTGGTAGTAGAATCTGTGCTCACTTGCATGTATCAGTAGCAGTGGCAGCATGGCAGGGTGCACACTTGTAGGCCAAGGCAGGGCGCTGGTAGGTGAATGGTAGTGCCACTCTCCTGCGATGTTTACAGCAGCAGCGGTGGCAGGATGTCCACTGTTGTTCATGTGCAGATTTATGCAGTATTGGCACAGGGGTGGGGTTCTGGTAGATGTGAGGCCGGTGCCCTCTACATGCATGTTCATGCTGGTGGCAGTGGTGGCACAGGGTGGGGAGTAGGACATTGGTTTCCAGGCACAGGTTTGTGCCAGTGGTATCAATGCAAGGATACAGCGCTGGTGAAAGTGGTGCAAACAGTCTCCATGCTCACAATTGTGCCAGTGTCAATGGTGGCAGAGAATGGCAGGCAGGGCTGCTGGTCTTATGTGCATCCATGTTGGCAATGGTGGCATGGCAGGGAGCAGGGTGTGCTCACACCAGCAGCAATGGTATGGTGGGGTATATATGCAAATACCTGCCAGTGGTGGGGGAAGAAAAGGAAGGTCCACCTGCTCCCACATGCCCCACCAAGCAATTGAGGGGGGTTGGTCATGGGTGTGCTGGCAAAGCAGTATAGAGACCGCTGCAGTTGGAGGAGGGTGCAGGTGGGCTGGTGAACGTCAGTGGGAGGCCACTCTGCTGGAACTCTCTGTCAGTTATGCCTGGTCTACCCGTGCATGAGGTATGATGTGGGCAGCTGTGGCTGCACTGCAAGCAGGTGTGGTCAGGCCAGGGCCCTAAGAGAGGCCAATAGACAGGGAAGTGCTCAGGTCAGACTGGCCTCATCTGATAGGCAAGATTGCCCTGCTCTGTTCAGGTCCAGTGGTTCCTCTAAGGCTAAAGTCTCCTAGGGGAGCAAGGGAAGCCTTTGGAGACAGGCATCCCTGGCTGTGCTCCACTACAGACACTCCCATACCAAATCTTCTAGGATCTGTGCCAGCAGGAGTTCTGTACCTACCACCTCTCTAAGATGCTCTTCCCACCAGTTCAAGTGTCTGGGGGTGAGGGGGGACATGGGGTCTTCTACTGCCAAGATTCTGGAGGCCAGTGGTGAGAGCAGGTTGCTTTTCTCCTGCTTAACTCACCCCTTCCCCAGAACTTGCTCAGGGCCAGAAGTGAGTCTTCGGTACATGGTAGTCTTGTGCAGAGTTCCCAGCTTTCTTCCCCTTCAACCCAGCATCTCTGTCCTCCCTCCGTCTGCTCTCAGTGCCTCCCCTCCGAAGATCTGCTTGGAGTGCGCCAGTCTTCCTGATGTTCTGGTCACTTGGTGGCAGATGTTCCTCCTGGCTGCATCTGGTTGGCTATCTTACCTCAGGTCTAAGGTCTCTTCTTATTCTCGGTTTTTTTGGTTCCAAATCATTAAATATTGTCTCCATAAGAACTATCATCATGTCTCAACTTCCTATGAAATAGATATTTGGAAGAATATGGGTAAATGGCAAAGGAATTTGTGATGAATAGACTGTGAGGAAGCTAATACAGGGAAAACTGAAATGCAAGGGAGCTATAAAATTCTCAGAAATGCAGTGAAGAAGGTAACGAAAAAATAATCTGGAAAAAATAAGCTTCTATGTGGATAATCGAATGTTTATAATATAGATTTAGTAATTACCTTCCTTGTATATATGGCTTCCTAAGCCAGATAAATACACCACTCTCCCCTGGAGATTTGATAGCTAAAGCTATCAAAATACATAATGATATTCCAACAATTATTCCAGACCCCTCCTGCCCTGCCATCTGGTTTTCACTGCTTTCTTAACCATATCCACCTCTGAACTCCTGGCTTTAGAACCCTAGCCTCAAGTCTTACTTCTGCACCACTACTATTGATTTTGACCTCATTCACATTCCTGACTTGACTTACAACTCCAGCTCTCTCCAGCCCTTGACCTTCAGTGAGACTCTTCTTGCTTTACTATTTGCCTCAAGAAACTAAAACTGGGGCCCCAAGAGCCACTAACTCCCTGGACTAGCCCTGTTTCCCTTGACAGAGAGTGATTCTGACAGATTAGAAAAACCAAACTTCTATATCAAAGGAATTTGAATTCTGAGTTAATCTCTTGTAATGAATTTATAAAGTAATAATCAATGGATTTAGTTCCATTCCAGGCCTTTCTGTATTCTTTACATGATATACTAATTAATTAAATAAAATAATGCATTTAAAGTGCTTAGCTCGCTATTGAGCACTTACTGTGATTATTAGTATATTACTGTAAACTGCCTTAGGAACAGAAGTAATCAGGCTCAATTGATGGATTTGATCACATTTTCCAAGTGTATTAAATAAGTCTGTTTTAAAATTTTAATTGCTAGTTACTTTTCACAAAGTTGATCCTTTCTTTTTCCTGAAGGTACCACTAAATTTTTCTTTTTATGTATTCATTTAGCTTATACTTAATTGTATTTTAAAAGATTCTTTAATATTTGGAGTTTTAAAACTGCTCAAATTCTTACTTTCAAGAGCCATAATAAAATACTTACATTTTAGTTTACTTAGTAGTAAACTAGTTAATTTTAAAATTTTTATCTCAGAAGGATAGTGATGGGAACATTAGCAGTTATTCCAATTTCACTTTATCAAATACCGTTTTACCAAGAATCAGATAACAAATAAATACTAAGTGAAAAAGACAATAGGCAAAGTGCTAAATGGAAAATTGGGCAATGTATCTTTCATTCATTTAGAGACGTAATTGATGCCTATGGCTTAGTATATTGGAAGTATAGCCCAGTGAAGCAAGACTGGTGGGACTGTTGCAGGCAATTAGGCATGAGCAGGGCAGGAGAGGGCTCTCCCTGCCTCACCCACTAGAAATGTCAGGTGATGGTTTGGCAATTATCGCATTGCCTCTCTAAAAGCTATAAATTGGCAGCCAAAGCCAGGGCCTTCCATTTATATTTTCTCTTCGACTTTAACGTACACTCTTGGATCTCTCCAAGTTAACTTCCCTTTCTTTTAAATAAACTTCCCCTGCTGTTCTGTAATTTGCTTCGATCTCTTTCTTCTGAGGAGGCAATAACTGAAGTTGCTGCAGACACATATGGATTAGCCACTGGCAACTCGAGGTACCTTGGATCTCTTCCACTCTTAACATATCAGTCAACTTGTTTTATTTAAAAGACAGTAAACATGCAATAACTGCAGTGGTGATTAAGATAGAAAAGATATTTACTCTGATGGAGTTTATGGTTTAGTGGTGAGGGAAGGGGTAGAAAGCATGCAAGTTAAAAAAATGAACAAAATAATTTGAAAGATTAAATTACTTCCTAATCCTCTATCTTTCAAGCATTATTGGTGTAAGCGCATATGTGGGGGATGGACATGAATCCCATATGACAATTTTGTCAAAATCTTCAGATAACTGAGGAAAGGGAGCACCTTTCCTCATCTTCATTATTTCTTTATATGATTTGAAGCTGTTCAGGGTCTAAATAATGATTCTTTTCAAATTAAGAACATGTTATGAAAGTCAGTGAAAGGGCCCTGAGGTCTTCAAAACCTGGGAACATCTTTCTTGGAGGACAAAACCTGGTGGGTTGTGCTCCAAGGTTTTCTCTCTACTGTGTATGCATCTGAAGAAGCCTTTCATTAATCTCAGACTACTACCCAGAAATTTCAAACTTGACCTAACCCCAGAAAATCACTTGGGTAACCTAAAGAAGCATTTAACCTCCAGGGTTGGTTCATGACTAGAGGAGATCCCATTCTTGAGTATGTCCAGTAAGCGGTGGGATTCCTTAAACTATCCAAAGCCGAATCCTTATCTCTAATTAGAAGAAGCTCAAGGGAACCCTAAGCTCCTCTCCTTCCTTAAAAGCACTGCACAGGTTAGAGGTAACCCAGCCTGGTGGCTGTGATATGAATGTTGTAACTACCATATAACCAATAGGTGTACCACATTCCTGATGTTTTCTGTTCCAGATCAACAACTGAACCCCAAAGTGGATAATAAAATAAAATCCCAAAGTATTTGGAATAAAATCTCTTCTCTTATGCATATAATTTTTTTTCCAAATCTCATAGGTAGGTAGCGTATCAAGACGGAATGAGACAGAAAACATAGTAATTTGAACAGGGAATTTTACTATAAATATTATGAACAGAATTAACTAGGGAGGACTAAGGAATGCTAAAGAATACTCCAGGGTGGAGGAAGAATACTCAATGAAGAAATGAATTTGGAAGCTCCTCTAAGTCTGGGGTTCAGACTTCATTGGAAAAGATATTGTTAGTACCCTTTGGATGGCAGAGAAGTTTACTGGGTTTCTCCAGGCCAGACTAATTCACAATTGCTGGGTAATCAGGAAATACTCCTCCATAGTACATCTGAGTTGAAGTAGGCAGACCCAATTGCAGCTAGACCTGGCAAGTCAGAAATACACTTCCGAAGTGCAGGTGGACTGAGACTGGTAGGCAGGGAAGTAGAGCTGGAAGTACAGCTGGAACTAACAAGAAGGAATTGCCCCTCCAAGGTGCAGGTGGGCCACAGCTGTGAAGCTGACTGCAGCAGTGCTTACAAGACTCACTAGGAATCCACAGATGGAGGTATGAATGGAACTTGACAGGAAGCCATCTACAGAATTACCACATAAACTTGAAGGGGATGAGTACTACTATGTGTGTCACTGGCAAACAGCATGAGGAGCAAGAAGAAGCACCTAGAATCACAGTGGCATCCAAGAGAAAAGCCCCTTCTTCCTCACTGTTCCTCCAGTGCCCTCTACTGACCAAGTTTAACATCATGCCAACTACAAAGGAAAAATGCTTAGAGGTTCCATCTCCATTATTTAAAAGCATGTAGTGATGGGTGGATTTGGAGCTGAAAGGCAATAAATTGATAGTTGGCACAGATCACCAGACTACGTCTTTGGCTACTCAGTTTCCACATGCACCCTTCTAACACATTTGAGTTTCCATGCCACAATAAAATAACCCTAAATTTCTACCTAACAAGATTCAGCTATTTTACTTACAAATGATGCAGTTCTTATTCTTTCCCCAAAACGAGGAGATACATAGTCCCAGTAGTCATTGTATCCATAGCCTACTGTATTAGTTATTCCTCAAGTTTTTCCATAGCTCCACTGAATATGCTGTTACTTAAAGACTAAGTTGTAAAGTTAATTTCCACCAACTATACATAAAAGTAGAAGGAAGAAAGAAAAAAAGAATGTTAATATATACAGACATTAGAAACAAAAAGCATTATGCAAAATACTATAATCCTTGTTTCTGTACTTGGTCATTAGACTGTAGAGTTGACCCTTGAACAACAAAGAGGTTAAAGGTACCAACCCTCCATGCAGTCAAAAATCTACTCTTTTAACTTCCTCAAAGCTATTAATAGCCTACTGTTGACTAAAATGCTTACCAATAACATTAACACATCTTTATGTTACATGTATTATATACTGCATTCTCACAATAAAGTAAGCTAGAGAAAATAAAATATTAATAAGAAAATCATAAGAAAGAGACAATATGTTTAAATGAAAGTGAGTCATCATAAAGTCTTCATACTTGTCATCTTCACGTTGAGTAGGCTGAGGAAGAGGAAAAATAGGAGGGGTTGGTCTTGCTGTCTCTGGGGTGGCAGAGGCAGAAGAAAATCTATGTACAAGTGCACTCACACAGTTCAAACCTGTTATTCAAGGTTGACTTTAGTTGATACCTAAGACTTCCTTTGTCCACTGGCCATGTCATATTTGCTTTGCCCTTAGCCAGAACCTCAGCTGGTTGACCATTCTTTGCCTGGTGGAATAACCCAGATGTTCATTCCTGAAGTGTCTGAGTCCTCACATACCCTGCCTTTGTTTGTTTGTTTTGTTTTTTAGTTGCTATACTTTTCTGCTGACTTTTGCTATTGAGCATGAAAGAATTAAAGACACCACAGAGAATTGATCATATTTCAAACATGGTCCTCCTCACCTCTATTGTTAACAGTAGCCCAGTTTCTCCTTGATTATTGGAATTACCGTTTTAACCAGAAAAGTAGCTCTTCTTTTTCAAAAGAAAACTTCCATGCTTCATTCCCTTTAGTGACTAGCATCCACAGACAAGCAGAATGCAAAGTTGCTGGGACAGGAAGCAAAAACTCTGTGAGTAGGGTACTATGTGATATTTTGAGAAGAACATTGCCAGTCCTACTCTTTGATTTCCAGACGGATGCATTCCGGCAATAGAAAAGTCAATCTTATATAATGAACTCTGACTCAAAGCATATACTAAGCATACCCTTGTAAAATAGAACCCCATTCCTGTATTGTCTCTCAACTGATACCATACCTGACTGGTTTAGTAAGCCATTCCACCTCTAAATTGGTCTAGCCACTTCTGAGTGACAGGGGATGTGGTAAAGTTAGTTAAATGTATCAGCATAAGCCCATTGTTACATTTCTTTTGCTTTGAAATGAGTTCCTTGATCACACACGATTATATGTAGAATGCCATGAAGAGGATAAGTTATTCTGTGAATTCAATGCTGGCAGAAGCGTTAAAGGCAGGAAAGGCAAATCTGTATCAAATATATGTCTACTCCAAGAGACAAATATCTTCTCCCTTTATGATGGAAGACATCCAATGTAATTAATCCGCCACCACTTCCTGGTACTTCCAGGAAATAATGCTATATTGGGGGCTCAATTCTTCTCTGCTGTTAGCAGATTAGGCAATCAGCAGTAGTGCAGCCAGATCACCTTTTGTAAGTGCACACCATGATACTGAGCCCATGTACACCTCCGTCACTGACATCATGGCCACTTTGCTCATAGGCCCATTGTACAAGCCGTGGGCTAACTGGGGAAATCTAGCTGACTGACTACTAGAGAACATGCCACCTTATCCACCTGACACCCCTTGGCAGGCATTAATATAGAAAAACAAATATTTTCACAGTTTGTGTCCATTAAGAGGTCCATTCACATACTTTTTTTTTTTTTTTTTTTTTTTCTGAGACAGTCTTGCTCTGTCACCCAGGCTGGAGTGCAGTGGCACTATCTTCACTCACTGCAACCTCTGCCTCCTGGGTTTAAGCAATTCTCAGACCTTAGCTTCCTGAGTAGCTAAGAGTGCAGGCACAGACTACCACGCCTGGTTAATTTTAGTATTTTTCTTTAGTAGAGATGGGGTTTGCTATGTTGGCAAGGCTGGTCTTGAATTCTTGGCCTCAAGTGAATGACACTTCATACTGAATCCAACTACAAGACTCCCTAGATTCATTTAATCCTAGCTGGCTCCCAGGCCTTGCCAACTTGCTCAGTGGAATCCTACCAGTGGTCACTGTCACTTTTCACTTAATATTTACCACTCTCCCAATCTTTCCCATAGTGATGTCTAGACTTAGACATAAGTCTATGACTCCTTCCATGGAAGAAATCACAGCAAATTTACCATCTCCTGTCCAACTACACAATACCATACTATGGGAAGTATGACCTGGATTTGCCAATAGAATTCCAAGTGGCCAGGTTATATAACTCAGAATTGCAATGACATTAGCATCCATGACATAAATGTTGACTAAGAGAGCTACAAGAGTCAAGTATAAACTGGCAAATAAATCTATTCATTTCCTTCTGCTGCTGATTATTCCAAGGCACAGAGATTCTAGACCTCATCTCAGGAGACATTCTTTATCACTGAACAGCTGCCATTTTTTGAGTATGATTCTATAAACTAGTTAAAAAATGATTTTGTATTTGTTTTCCTTTTTCCCTATCTCACTTCCTTTCTTCCTTTTTATTACTCTGGGATTGTACTCCCCAAGAAAGCATTATTAACATATATGCTTTGTCTCAAGCTCTGTACTGTAGGTAATCAGGGCTGATATATGTCATAGGTATTCTAGGCAATTTTTTAAAAGGGAAATTATAATGATTCTTGTGTGTTGCTACCTGGTCCTCACTTATTCTGTTTGTTATATTGGATTTCCATAAGTTGTACTTTAAAATCTCATTCTACAATTTATTGAAGTTTTAAGTTATAGTGATTTTTAAATTGTAAGATAATCTCAACAGTGGTTCAGTGGAGGCATGAATGGAGGAAGAGATTTACAGCAAATCTAAATTAAATCACATGGATTATCATAGTTTACTTTTTTAATTCTGAAAATTTATTTTAACAGGTAAAATAATAGGTCCCTATGGCATTTAACAAACAACTGCTCTTCACCAGCATTCCCAATAGTCTTACCCAGTGGCATTTATTGAATAGTTAAAGACAATGCTAAAATTGTGCTTCTTTTGGCCAACAAATGGAAAACCCAGATGCCAAGGTGAAAAAGATTTGTTCTTTGGTAGTAGCTACAGCAGCTGTCTATTTGGCATATTCCTTAGAAATCTTCAAAGTTGCCTAGGATACAGACTTTGTAAACTGGGATCCTGCAGAGCCTTTAAAAGATTTTTTTGTTTAATGCAAGACCTATGTCGACATTAAATTAGCAATATAGCTTCTAATCTACACATATACACATATCCATTGACTTGCAGATCTATGAAAACAGGGCATATAATGAATAATACAACTTGTGGGATCAAATAAACCGCACATATTTTGTCATGACAAAGAAAATATGACCCACATGCAGCTTGGAAGCTTTACTTTGGAAGTAAACATTTGAGGATCATATTCCTGAAAAGCTTTTCGGCAATGCTTAGACCTAAGTTTCTGCATTAATCAATAATTATACAATTGCCCTCAGTAATACTAATTTAACAATTTAGTTTAACAAGCAAGTAGAAATCAGCGTAACACAATCCTAGCCATAATATGTTATGAAACACTGTCAAAATGAAGTAAAAGGTGATAGGGTCAGTGTTTAAATCATTGAATTCTATACTTAAAATGGATGAATTTTGTGGTGTGTATTATACCTCAATAATGCTTTTTATAAAAAATTTAAAAATTACAGATTATTGTAAAGAAAACAGTAGCTATATGGGAGCATGTACACACTCAAACATATGTGCACATACCCTCTTCTGCAGGCTGAAATTCCAACATCTGTGTCTTAGCCACTTAAAATCATCTCTAGACACCTGACTCCACATGCATACCACTATGTGAATGAGCAGTTACGAGTGACTGGCTTCAGACTATTGCTAAATTTGCCATCCTCGTAACTTGGTTGTAATCACCAAAAACCTCATGTTGTTAACTTCTATAGCTGATTAGATGTCCCCCAGTATACGGTAAATTTTGGCCATAAATAAAAGACAGTTTTACATTACTCAATTTAGGCACCTGTGTCTCAACATGTTAGATAACTGGAATACACTAGTAGCTGTTCCTTTCATAAAGAATGTTCAATGTACTCCAAGAAAGGGGAAATACTGAGGCAGACAGATTGATGGTATTTTACACTGAAGAAAAGACCTTTGAAAGTTTGCCAGACTTTGAGAAAGGGTCAGCCAGAGCGCCCCCCTCCCCCACCCCACCGAAAAGGAGGCAGTGTTCCCATCTTCCTGTCAATAACACTTAGCATGCTGAGTTGTTTTATCAGACAGATGGTGGACCATGCACCATTATGACCAATACAGTGTTGTCAGTTGTGCAAAGGGTCCCATGAATTGTTAAGCTCCTCTGCCACCTCAGAGATGGCTCTGTTTGTGCCACCGTTTACAATTTTGTTGTGTAAATTCTCTGTTCCTAATGTCAAGAAGGATACATTGTAAGGACACTTGGATGTTAAAATCAACTTTGAAGACTTTAATTCAGTTTTAATAGATTTTTGACTTATCAAAAGCCTACTAATGTTACTGTTAGTAATGATACAATTAAGATTTTAATTAAATCATAAGATTTTTTCAAATTAAAAATTCTCAAATCTATCTTAGCATTTCAATTGATACATACTTTCTTCTGAATTTAAAAATCAATTTGAAAACGAATTTAGATATTCTAAACCTGAAGGGGGATATCTTTTTTTCTACAAAATGCATTTTGCAAATTCTTCAAATTGAAATAAGAGGTCCTTTCAAATTTAAGAGGGGGTTTATTGTTTTTATCTGAAACTTATATTTATAGAGTTCCTAAAATAAATTTTCTCAATCAATAATTTGGTGAAAATTTTTATGACACTTAAAAAACCAAAAATATGTGAAATTGTGGTCAGTGGAATGCAGTATATGTATGTGAACTTCTTTTTAAGCTAAAAAAAAATGGAGGCTTAGTAACTAAAAGTTAAAATATCTATATTTTGTCAAAACTTTGTTTTTGCATTGGATAGAACAAATATAAAATGTCAACCAAAGAAAGATACATTTTTATAAGACTTACAGAGTTATGAGAAGTAGGTTATAAAATTAACTTATAATAATTTTTAATAAGAACAAAGCTAAGTGCTGGAGGTAGCTTCTTTGTATAAATGTATTTCTAGAAATAGAAAAAAATTAAATTGTTATAAGTGTTGGATGAACCTGGAGACAAATACTTCATAACTTCAGTAATATTCCCATATAATGGAACTATGATCTATCTATCTGATCCAATTACCACACATTTACACATTTAAATTCAGAGAAAGCATGAGCAGAAAGATATACTTAAGGTTTTCCAAAGAATGTGTGGTGAAATGGTTAAATTTCTTTTCCCCAAACTGTCAATAACTATCCTGTTAACAGCAACAAAAGGGAACTATTCACACTACATTAAGTTCACATTTAAAACAGGAAAGCATTACTCTTTCTCAACATAGTATAATTCATTCAAAAGCATTAACAAAATATTGGACAGGTAAATATCTCTTATGTGGAGTCACCAAGGTAGTCATACCATTTTTTTTGGATAATTGGTTTATATGGATATTTGCTTACATAGATTGGATTCTGAATTTTTTTTTCTTTCAATCTGAAGCTGTTTTCATTCACACTTGGGGTCCACCATCTGTCGATAAAGCCTGTTAGCTCACCACCTCACTGGCTCTGAGGTGCTAGTTTTCCATCTGGTAAAGCCCTAAAGAGAACCCCAGAGTCAGGGAAGCATGAATCCTGTGGGTGCTTCAACTCTAGGGCTTATGTCCCCAAAGGGATGGGGTCTTTTTGACAGTTAGCAAGTGTTGAGAAGCAATACAGTCGGAATCTGTGCATGGCTTCATCTAGACCAAAAGATAGCTAGTGGCAGCCCAGGCAAAGCACTGGATGTAGCTGTTAAATGAAAAAGGTCAGCTTCTGGTATCCTCCCACTTTCCTTTCCTTGCCCATTTCTCCCTTCTTGGCCTATATTTCATTATTAACTAATTAATAAGGGGTCTTCATGTAGATATTTACAAACTGTCTCACAATTCTATGTGATAAATTAAAATTAGTTAGGAAATTCAGATAAAAGATGACTGGTAAAAAAAAAATCCTTTAACCTTACTAGAATTAAGTCATAAACTGAATACTGAGTACCTTAGTAGTTTGTTCGAGAGAAAACAAATATGATTAATGGTGTTCATACCATTTAAAAAATAATCAATTGATATGAAAAACAGACATTACTAGCACTGAATTTGAAAGAAATTTATTAAAAGGTCACTGCAAGCAGTAGAGAATGTACCCTTAACAGTATCATCCAGGAAGTGCAAGTTTCATGGGGCTATTCTTAATAGTGGCACTCAGCTAACTAATAGCAATGCTTTGGAATACTATTTAGCAAAAGCAAAGCAATGTGGCCTAAATTCACTGCTTTCTATTGTCTGCATGAACCCAAAAATAAAGGTGTCTGTGAGTTTGAATTTATACTGTCTGCAAAGTACCTAACTATAGTTATTTTTCTTCGCCAGTTAAGTGTAGACTATATGCCCTGATAGTCATTCATCCTGGAATTAGGGTTGACATCACTTTAGAAAATATGGAAAGACTAACTAGACATTTGCTTAAATAGGAAGCCACTGAACTTCTTGAGAATGTGCCAAGGGGCAAAGGGGTAGCTGCTTACCAAAGACCAAAACTTTACTCAAATAATTAACAATTTTGGATTTAATGCAGAGAGAGAATTTGTAATAAAAAGCACCAGTTTTCGACAGCAAAGGATAACCTCAAAATCATTTTAGATAGGAAAGATTTTAAAGAAACATAACCTTACACGAAGAGTTGCATCACTTATTGGTTTTGTAGTCTTATCTTTTCTGGCAAAATTTTCTCGAAGAAAACAACTTAGTCTTACTGATACAAAATATCTGTTTCCATTATATTTCTCAGCTCTATGTTCTTCTGTGCTGGTTTCAGCTTAAGATAGACTTCCCCATTTTGACAAGATGACAGATTCCCCAAGTGACATTCCCCAAGTTACAAGATGATCATCAGACATCCCAGAAATATAGTCTACCAGTTGAGCAACCCCAAGTAAAAGAGAGTGCATCTTCTTTAACAGTAATAGCAAAAGTCATGAGCCTATTTCCAATTGGTCCAATTTAAGTCAAATTCCCATCATGAGCCAACCACAGTGGCCAGATAGATATAGCATACTGTTAGCAATTCTAGATCACATGGAAGAATAAAGTGCAGGAAACGTAATTTTATCTAAATTTATATCAGAGGCAAGCTATGGTCCACAAGTAGGCTACCAGCTATTGCAAATAAAGTCATATTAAAAAATATTGCCATGTATATATTTGTCTGTGAATAGTCTGTGGTTGCTTTCATGCTACAACAGCAGAGTTGAAAACCATGATCTGAAAAGCCTCAACTATTTAATCTCTGATCCTTTAAGAAAAAAATTTCTAACCACTTACATAAACCAAAAATGGGAATGGGTGGTTGTCAAAAGAAAAACAAGGGATTTATTTTTTTTAATGAGTAAAATAAATGCTGTACAGACAAAATCAATACTGTACCTCCAAGATGAAATGGTTACAAAAGATAACTAAATTAAATAAATAAATTAGTAGAGTTGATTTTGGAGGCCATCTTTAAAAAATAGTATTTGATTTTCAAAATTATATTCTACAGTCACTTTGATAGTACAGGCATTCTGTATACACATAGAAAGAAGCTTAGCTTTCTGTTCTCAAGAGAAGGGATAGAGAAAATGAAACACTTGAATCCAACTCATCTCATGTAATATCAAGGCACTGACATACAAGTTAAAAAAAAAAAAAAGGAAATAAACTTAGCTAATAATGACTAAGGCCAGTGATGATAGCTTAGACATGTGGCAGACATTGTACTAGGTACTTATCATATATTTTCCCATCTAACTCCCACCATCAACTTTATGAGGTAGATATTATTGTAGCCATTTTATAGAATAAGCTAAAATAGGACAAAGAATTTTCCTAGGCCATAAAAGTTAGTGGTAGTAGTATCTGAATCCATATTTCTTTCTACTCTATTATACTGTTTTCCTTGTAAAAAATAATAATTTGTGATGAGGCTAACAAGAGCATGATTCAATCTAGAGCTGATTGTTCTAGCATATGCTCAGTTGTATCCCCATGGCAGTTGTCAAAAATTCAAGGAATCTTGGGGCTGTCAAATATTACACAAAAGTCTCTTTAACGGATATCATCCTTAAGAACAAATTCTCATTTCATATGATATGCCAGAAGCCCAAATGATTTGGGGGTTTACATGAATCATCTGGGTCACAACATAGTACTAACCTAAACCAGTGGATAGAGAACTTCATTGAGGTACTAGATAACTGGATTCTATTCCTGGCTTTCCCAGGTATCTGCTGCATAAATGTGAAAGCCAAAAAACTACTGTTTTTGACATGTGTATGCAACTTTATATGCTTCTGAAGAATGCTGTGAGCATTAACATAGGAAAGAAACCTGGGTTGTTATGGAAGGCATTATGTGTTTCAATGCATCATCGTACAATTTTAGAAAGAAAACAAAACTAGGGAGAATTGTGGAAAAGGGAACAGTTGTTTTAAAGCTAAAGAAAAATTTTCAAATGCATATTATTTTAGTGATTTTTTTTAAAAAAACATTTTATTATAAAAATTTTCAAACACACCTAAAAGCAGAGAATAATTATTTGTACCATGTACTTAGTCTCAGTTTAAGCAACTAGCAATATGTGTCCAATCTTGTTTTATCTAAATCTCAACAATACTGTGCCCAGAGTGGGTTATTCTAAAAACCTCAGACATCATTTCATTTTATTCATAAATTCTTCAAAAACATATCTCCAAATGATCAGAAATCTGTTAAAAAAGCACATAGAGTCACAATAGCATTCTCATAATTTGAAAAATTAATAAATTCTTAATGTCACTATTTGTGTATTGATCAAACATCTCTGATTATGTCATATACATTATTTTATATTTATGTGTATATACAGATATGTATGTATGCATACATATATATATATATATATATATATGAATGATTTATCCTAGAAAATGTTCCATATTCAGGATTTTTGCCAAATGCATCTCCATGGTGTCATTTTATGTGCTCCTTTGTGCCTTGCATTTCCTGTAAACTGGTGGTGAATCTAGAAGCTTGGTCACATTTAGGTTTCATTATTTTTTGATAATAATACAATATAAAAATTATGTGTTTTGTCTCCCTAATGTATCACATTGGGATGTACATATTATCTCATTGTCTCTTTTTACTGCTAAAAAGATTGATTAATTTGTTCAGTTGTTGTCCACCTGACTCCTCCATTGGAAAGTGTGGGATTCCTTTTAAGGATGTATATAAACTTTCAAGGTACAAGTAGGCAAAGTTTCAAAAAGGACCAATACCTTTTTTGGAAAAGGCTGTGTCCCTGCTACTTCTATGCTGTTTGGCATTCTATTGATACAGGATTTGGTTGAGAGGATTCAAAAATGAGAGGAGAAAAAATTCTGAGTTGCCCAGGGTGACTAGGGAGGACAACTTCTCTGACATGCTCTTCTTAGTACTGTAAAGAAATTAAAGGACAATCCAGTACCTCTTCCATTAGCAGTTCCCTCTTCCCAATCTTCTCACCAAGGGAAAGTTGCTAATTCTACCTATTTATTAGACTATCACTCTGCCAGAAAGTCTATCACAAAGGCTTCTTTCTTCTAGAATAACAAAC